TTGCTTCCTGTGGCTGTGTGTGGGTGCGACTGTGTGTGGGTGCGTGTGTGTGCGTTTCAGAACGAATAGTTGTTGTACTTAGTATTACCAGGACTCCTGGGGCCTCTAAGACACAGAGAGACGCATGCTTTAGATAGCTGAGGTGAGACAGTTAGGACAGAGAAGCCATTAGAAATACCACACACACACACACACACACACACACACACACACACACACACACACACACACACACACACACACACCCACCCCTCTCTGGTATTCTTTTTGAAAAACTTTGGTGAAGATGAGTAAGTCACAAGATGTTTGGGCATATTTATGTCTCCAAACTAATGAAGGAAACGAATTACTTAAAAGTCATGAATGAAAGCAATTGTGCTGCGTACTTCTCACAAATTTTTCCCGTTTTTTCCCCACAGGAAGTAAAAGTCTTGTTTGCAGTTATATTCCAGTTTCAGTCATTTCTGTAACAGCTGCAGTGTACACACTATCGAGATGTAGTTAAAAATGAATGGCTTTAAACTGAATTTAAGAGGCGTTGCAATTAAAGGGAAAGATCCATTACTTCAGAGCAGCAGTGAGTCAACAGCACCTTTTCAAGAAACTGAACTCGATCCTGATGTGTCACCCATGTTCTGGTTCATGAGTATGCAACGTATCAGTCGTCTCTTTGGCGAACAGAGAAATAATGTGCCGGTCATGTTTGAACATGTGTGGGTAGAGCCAAGCAACTTCTTTCATGGCAACTTTTACATACAAATTAAACCCCACGAATTAGAAGATTACCTTTACAGCTGTCCCAGGAGCTCCCTCAGCTAATCAGCTCTCAAACAGCTTCACTCACACACACACACACACACACACACACACACACACACACACACACACACACACACACACACGGGAAAAAAAAAAACAAGCAGTGGAAAATTTAGACCAGGTCCGACTGCCGAGCAGCGTGAATCACAGCTCAAACAAAGCACCCAGGTTTCTGTCTAGGTGAAGGTGAAGGTTTCCTATTGTTTGCTGGATGACAGCAGGACTCGCATCATGCACCAGCTCCACAGTGGCCAGGAGAGTGAGCGCTACGGTATCTCAGGAACACACGACCCAGTTATTAGCTCAGTACACTGGCTTTATTAGCAGACCGCACTTAACTATACAACAGCAGCTGATCCATAAAACTGTGCGACAGTGGCAGCGACGACAACTCGGGCCAGTGTGTGGAAGCCACGCTCGCAGACCTGCTCAGCACTCAGTGATAGTTGGCACTAATTAAAGCTTTGCTCCTGGTAATTGCCCACAGACAAAACTTAATTTTAGGAGGGTTGCTGGGGAAACTCTGTATATTCTGCACAAACCTCCTGTGCAACCTATAATTTAGCAATCCTAGAAGAATCTCAATATAGAAAACTACACAATGTTCATTTATTTAGACGATCCGCTGGTTTTATTTATTCACATTGTTTGGAAAACAAATGATAAGTTGTATACAAACATGTATTTTTTGTTGTCGACTCGTTTCTCCTCCTAACTGCTCAAATGTGTGCACGTGTTTGCACCTCTCAGTCACAAAGTAAAGACAGAAGCTGCAAAAAAAAGACGACCCGAGTTGTTATTATGAAAACAGAAATGTGCTTCGATTATAATGACTTTAATTCATTGTTTCTGTTGACTTAACATCGAGCGCAATCATTTTCATGCTGCCCATAATGACTTAATGGCAACAGTCATTACTGAAGGTAATTTAATGGTGGATGACTCATATGAGCTCTCTTCTAAAGTATTTACGACGTTCCCCAGCTTTCTATGTGAACCCCGTCTCAGTGAGAACTCACACAGCAGTGACAAGACTCGTCACTCATAACTTTAAAAAGTGAGCCGGGACGAAAGCTGGTCCCGCTCGTCACAGCGATCGCCACAGTCGTTTCTGTGGACGTGTGCACAGGTGCAGGACTTAAAGTGTACACACACGTGCACTTTTGTAACGCCTTTGCGGCCGCTTTCATAGTCTGCATTGTGAGCACCCACCCACGACCTCCTTTCTCAGAGCAGCTGGATAAAGTACACTTGATGATGTGCCAAGTGTGCCTTTCCCCCTTTTCTACGGCTGAGTTGCAGCTTTTTATCTTTCTCCATTAACCAGTGCTGAACCACGCACAATGATCTCCCACAGTCTCAGCAGGATGCAAACAGAGTGGAGACACGGGGTAGCAATTGGCCATGTCAGAGAACAGAGGAGCTGCCACTTCTGTTCTGGTTTCATTGACTGGGTTGGTTTGCCTATACAGGCTCAGTACCCCCCCCTGCTGGAGCCTCCGTGCTGTTTTCACAATGTTGACTGCCTCCCGCCAATTTCGAAGGAAGTAGCCTAATAATATATGATGTGGTGTTTTATTTCCAGCTAATCTATTAGCAGTATAGGACCGGCATATCAACCGAAAGCTCGCCTCTTCGACTTCCTACATCAGAGTAAACACTGTGGCTGATGGGAAAATGTAACAGTTACTGCAGGAGAAATACTTGTAAAAAAGAAAAGTTATAGAAACCACAGTGTCATGTGTGGGGTCACATGAAAGCAGTGCTGAAAGGGACCTCGGTGACATTTAAACTTTGAAGGAGGCACATTTTTCTACAAATTCACATAAAGATGCACCTTTTACAGTCCTGTGATTTTTACCCGCTGGCTGCTCATATACACGACACCGTTAAACATTTGTTAAGTAAATAAATAGATCAGTGTCCAGTTTATTCTTTATAGAGACCGTTTTTTACATTAACATTACACTTCTCATCATTCATGTGAATATGTGAGGAAGCTACAATGTTTTACAATATGTTTTTTTACAACCGCAAAACTGGATACAAAATTACAACTCTATTCTGAATGTGTGTGACTTTTCCTGCATTACAGACATGTTAAGGCCGCTTGCACCACCTACTGACACTTAATAAAAACAAAGTCACACCGTAGTTCCCCCAGCGCTGTTTTGAAACAGCAGGAAAGTATTGTTTGTAAAAAAATTTGAATTTTAATGTTTAGATTTAAATTTGAACTAAAATAACCTCAGCTCTCAGGCAGAGCTGCTGGCATACAATTACTTTTATCATCTGCATCTAACAACGATTTAATTACTGAATCATTTTAATCTATAAAAGGACAGAAAAGATCTAAAAATGTCTAAAATTCCTTAAGTGGCATCATCCTTGATTTCGTCTTTTTAGACAACAATTTAAATGTGTCAGAGCACCACTCGAGTAAACATCACACTTTTTACAAGCTGAATACATATTTGTCATTGTTTTTCTTTAAATAAGGCTACGTTTAATATCCATCAATATCCTTTCATAAAATCGTTGATCTATCAGCTCGTCACAGGAAGCACCTCCGTTACAAGCGGTGGCGTCTTTCCCAAATGTTGTTGGTAGTGATCAACACTGAGAGCTCACATGAACTCCAGTTCTGCCTTTTCAAATTGTCATTCCTGCTTATAAACACAATGGAAACTAGGCCCAGAAAGGTCACGCAGCATGTGTTGGACTTAAAAGTTTGTGGAGGCATCTTAGCGAGTGCTTTGCACTTGACCCACTTACTATCACTGACCCAGTTCCTAAAAACAGAACAAGAAGCCTGCTAGCTTTCTCCAGTGCTCACTTACCACTTGTCAAAAATATTTTTTCAGGACCCAGAAATCTAGAAAATCACAGAGTAATCGACGCGGCTCATTTAGCAGCGCTTCTACAGAAAAGAAGACGCATAATTATAATTCTCCAAGGCCACTTTTGTACTTTTTGGATTGGCCAACACCAATTAAAATTTGGATAGGAGCCAATGACACAAATGCGACGTGAAATAAGTAATCTGTTGGCAAATCCCTGTTTGCATTGGTTTGAATATTCTTGCCTGATCACGATGTTTTTTGTCAGTGTTGGAGTCATATCACAAATTGCAGGTTTGTCAGTAAGCAGCACTTCCTTCCTACAGTGAAACACTAAATGCTTAAAAGTAATTCTGTTCAAACTATTTTTATTGGAAATTCTGTACATTTGTTTTTTAAGTCATGAAATTCTTTGGTTAAAAATCACAGTATCAGCTCTCGAGCAACAGTATGAGTCAAATCTCTATAAAAATGCGCACGAGCCGCTCCAGCAAGGATCATCAAGTTCTGTCATGAACCCGGTGACACCACCGCCTGCAGTAACGACCACGCTCACTAGATGGTGACATCTTACTGGCAAAGAAAGTGAGCCGGACCGCTATTGGACTAAAAGAAACCAGAGGAACGCCTCTCAAATTACATTTCAGAGCACCAGAGTTGGCTTTTAAAAACAGCAGCATGGAGGACACGCACTTCAAAGTTTCCAGTTCAGCTCCACTGGGTCAGGGCACAAGAGTGTGACGGTGGACTCCTTGATGACAGATGGACTGAGAGTAGTCAAACAAGCAGATGTTTGGGGACCCTGCGCTCGTCAGCGCTAGAGACGCAAAAGCCAACACGCCTGGCACTAGATTAAAAAGAGAGATGAAGAGAAAACGGGGAGTGTGCGGCGAGGAGAGGCACAAAGAAGAAAGTAAGAAGAGGGAGTGAAAGTGAGAGTGAGCGGCACGGTAGGGAGCAGGAAAGTGGGGAGAAAGGAAAGAGAAAGAGCTCAGATCGGGGGAGGGAGAGTGTTTTTATCCTCATGTGCACTCAGTCAGAGGGGTCACTGAGTGCGATTGTTCCTGGACTGCCTGTCAAAACAGCGTGGCTACCAAAGCGCCTATTCACTGTGAAACGCAGACGCACGCAAACACACATTAGCACACTCACGCCAAAATCTCTTTATCAGTGCTCTTATTAAAAACAACTACTTGACAGCAGCATCAAAACCAGCTTTTTTAATACCTGCGTCACAGCACCACCATCATCCAGCGGCTCTGAGCCCTGTCACAGGCATGCACAGACAAGTGAATAACTGCAGCGTGAAAGAGTGAACACTCACACAAAATGCCGTCTTACCAGATAAAGGAGGAAAGTGTGCAAGCCAGTGCCAAGACCCACAGAGGAGAGGATGCCCAGACCGACCCAGTAGGCACACCACAGCGTCTTCTTCTCCATGTAGCACACATACTGCAGAGGCCAGAGAGAGGGACGGTCAACCACATGGCAGAGACACATGCACAGAGTGTGAAGAAAACAAGAAAAGGGGAAGGGGAGGGAGGGGGTGTGCACAGTGCGAGCAAGGAAGGGACAGAGTGAGAGGAGGTGAGAGTGTGTGAAACAGAGGGTCCTCTAAAGGCTGGGAGAAAGAAAGAGGGAGAGGAAGGAGAGTGAGGGAGAAACCTGAGGTTGTTGAGTTTAAAGGACAGAGCTGTAGGGTAGGAGTGTTCAGCACAGAGCACCATTATTCTTTCCTGGTGGCAGCCAGCTCTTACACAACAAGCAAACAGAAGAAAGCCAAGATCTCTCCTTCTCTGTTCATCCCCCACTATCACTCCATCTATCGCTGCTGTTTACACCGCCTCCTGGAAGCCCGGGCAGGTTGTTTTCAGGGGGAAGCATGGAGTGTGTAGATTATGGGAAGGGGGGAGAAGGTGGGGTGGGGGCTCTGACCAGTGACTCCATTTCCCAGGAAACCCAGGAACACAACAACAGCACATACGCTCTCTGGCTTTACTGGCAGGATTCGGGGAAGCAGTGCCAGCCAAGGGAGATTGTTACGTGTAGTTACTGAGAAGTGATTACACAACTCCATGACTGTAAATAACGCTGATTTTATTCCAGGGGGCGTTAAAAACAGCAAAAATGTGAGCCGTCTCTGGGGGATTGTACAGCACGGCATGCTGCATCTGGGCATTTAGAAGCATATTTATGAGAAGCTGGCAGATACAACCAAGCACGTTTATGCAAATATCAGCTGTCAGACAACAACATACTACTGTCAGATGAAACCACAGATTTCAGGCACTCTACAGCTGATGTGGATGCACGGGCAGGACAACCCTGCAGCAAATATACATGTTGCATTCAGTGCTGCGGTGGGCTAAAGGTGAGGAAATATAATCATCAAAAAAGTGACTGCCACAGGACCAACTACGTTAATAACCTCCTTGCATATGAATAGTTAGGATACGCCAAGAAATGCAATATGTGCAGAGTTTTAGTCACCTGGGTGTGTGCTCCTTCAATACGATAGGCAATGGAGAGGAGGGTCAGCAGGGTCAGCAGGCCAAACACAGTCTGTCTCTGCTGCCAGAGCCTGGGTGAAGAAGCAGCGAGTGAAGGTAGACAAACTTGAGACGGAAGTTGGTGGAAAACAAAGCAGAAAGACAATGTTTAATAGGGAAAGTTTGACGCCAGAGGGATCGTCAACAAGGACGTTTAGTGAAAGGAAAGGATTTCAACTTTGGACAAGAGAGACATCTGTTGGAAGCTAATCAAATCACCGCAGGTCTTCACCCATAGAGGCCGTGCTTCCAGATGGTGAACACATCCGAGTAATATGCAGCCTATAAAAGCACGTGCTCGGCCATAAGTGCCGTTACTGTCACCTCGTTAACATGTGTGCAGTGTTGCCAACTTAGCGACTTTGTCGCTATATTTAGCGAGTTTTCAGACCCCCTTAGCGACTTTTTTTCTAAAAAGCGACTAGCGACAAATCTGGTGACTTTTTCTGGTGTTATTGGAGACTTATTTATGACGACTTTTTGACGTGAAAGCGCGGATCGCTCTTACTCTCACCAAGCAGCGGTGCTGCCGTGGGCACCTCACCCGTGCCAAAGCGCTCACGGGCGGAGGACAGTCCTCCTCAGCTGCTGTCCGGGCAGGAGACGTTCACACCTGTGCGTCCAAACGGCAAATGAATCGCGCATGAGCGAAGCCGCTGCTCCGCACTGACTGTAACGCAGTCAGGTCTTCTTTTACTGTTATGCTGTTTTGTGGATCACAAGCTTTAAAACTACTTATAAACACACACACACACAGTAACTCCACCAGAGCGCCTATTTCGGGTCACTTTTGCCGGTCCAGGCCTGGATAAAGGAGCAGGGTTGGAATTGTGACATTAAAAAACAATAATTGCTAAAAGAAATTTAATTCGTAGTTCTAAATAAACTCTAAATGCATTTAGGACGTTTTTACTCACTTTGTCTCTTCCACGATGTTATTTCTCTCTAAAACAGCGTAGGTTACAGTTACATTAGCATGACCAATTATGTAAATTAGGCGATGACGTCATTTGGCGCCTTCTAGAGACTTTTAGGACAACCAATAGCGATTTTCCTTACTGAGGAGTTGGCAACACTGCATGTGTGGAGGGGAGAAAGTATTCGAGCAACTTAATACAGAGCAGAATGAATCCAAAGCAGAAACTCTCGCGACAGTCGCAAAGACATTTATAGACTTTGAAAAATAAGTTATTGTACAGACGTTCACGTACACTCACCGTAAAAAGATAATGCTCACGTGTTTATTTTGAATGTTAGAATTAAACGTTTTATGAAAAAACTAAACGACAGAAGCTAACTATGCTATCATCAGATTTATGGTTGATGCTAAGCTAACCTTGTTTGTTTGCCCAGTGACCAGGACGTGCACATCTGTAGAAAAGGTTGGCTAGCTGACACATTACAGTCTGTGCGTTTGTTAAAACCGTTTCTTTCACATATTTACTGCCCAAACTGACACGGAGTGAACAGAAGCGCATGCGCGCTGGTCCCAGGTGCAAATAATTAGGGTTGATTAAAGGAAAAGTCAGAGTAGCATGAAATTAGCCCCCAGTGAGAAGGTCAGAGCAAACAGTTGTCTCCATGTGCTGTCGGCTTCACTCACTTATTTCAGGTACTGGAGCACACCACATTAGCACTGACATGGAAAACTGGCTCTTGTAGCTAATTAGAGGTTAGCTAATAGAAATAGAATAGAATAGAACTGGAAGCATTCTAATAAACTCAGAATTAATCCATTAAAAATACCTAGGGGCAGCTGCCTGTTTGTGGAAGCCATACCTCTCCAACTTCAATACAGCGGTCGGAGATGGATGTCGCTGTTTTACGTATGTTACTAAAGACCGGCTACATTTATAGCCATTTAACATGTGTGCATGTATATTTTCACATCTCTTTTTCTTATGTTTTTCTTCTCCCTCATTTTCCGACTCACCTCCAGCCTCATCTCTTTAACTCAAGGCTCTGACAGTGAGCTGGCTAAACAACAACAGCTGGTCACAAGCTAACATTAGGCCAGTTAATGTCCAACTGTGTTACACCCACTTCAAAGAGCAGCTAATTGAGACTAACAGCAGCTAACGCGAAGCTAACAGCAGCATTTACTGAAAAGCTCAGAATAGCTGCAACACCTCAACTCCAGATCACATCAGTCAGAAGTAAGTAATCCACCGGCACACGATTCATTTGACAAAGTTTAAAGCCTCCTTCACAGTAAACAACATACTGACAGTTGAGGTAAACAGTGAACTGACAGCCTACGCTTACTGCAGACGAACAGTGATCGTTTGTCGTACACCTGGTAAAAAACAGAATTCAGTGATCTGCAATTTGGTGACATCTAACGATGAGATTAGGATTTAGTCCAGGTTTTACTCTTGGGCTGTGTTAGAGTATCTTTGCATGATTTAATTTGCCTTGAAGTTTAAACCGTAGGTGGGTGGGGCTTATGTGTGTGCCATGACAGTATCGAGGATATCCCGTCTTTGAAATCACACACATCCAAGAATAGAAAAAAACACTGCAAATGTGTTTTTATTAAGACCAGAATTTCCATTCATTTGACCGTAATGATTTCTCACCACATGCCCTCCCCTATCCTAATCCTGCATTGTTTCACAAGCTACCTACATATTAAGAACAACAAGTGCATAGCCACAAGACAGGACAGTCTGTTGCCTTGAGGACTCCCACATGTTGTAAATTACAAACCGCTTTTAACAACATCCAGGATAAACCTCTCTGCATGCGAGTGCACTAAAGCCCTAATGTGTTTGCATGTGTGCTGGGGAGTAGCAGCTTCTCTCAGTCACAGCGCTGCTCGTGGTGCTTGCGGCTCACCACATCCTCTTGTAGTTTTAGAAAATAAACACGTTGTCCTGACACGCTTAACCGCAAAGGCCCCCCTGAGAGTACACTCTGACCTTCTTCTGGGTTCTTTGTTATTAGGTGTACAAAGACACGTTTTCCACCACAGGGAACATGCTGTCAAGACAAATTCTGACGGAGTCTGAGCTGATGTTGTTGCTTTGTTGGTGGGATCATGCCAGTGTGTGTGGCGGAAAGACTTTCTTGGTAGAAAGGAAGAGGAGTGCAAAGTGAAAATATATACACATGTAAACAGATCCTGTGGTGTTTTTGTTGCACTGTGCTGAAGACTGAAGATAGAACAACAGTTAACTGAGACAATCAACGTTACATCTGATCTGGTGGTGTTTATATCCTTCTTGTGTAAGTGAGGACTGCATAGTGCTGCCTCTTCCTCTTTTTGTGCAATGAAAGCAGCAACTGTCACTATAAATAATACTGAAAAAACTACTGCTTAAATAGGACAAATCTATGTGCTGATTTCCCAGTGAAACAAACTCACAGGACATAAATGTTTCAAGTTTTTCCTTTTATTCGTCATTAACAGCTGAGCAGATGCAAAGAAGCTATACTGAAACGGTTTGTGCATTGTATCTTACTAATTCACCAAAAGTCTAATGTTACCACTTTGCCTGTTTTAACATTACAGTGGGGCAAAAAAGTATTTAGTCAGCCACCGATTGTGCAAGTTCCCCCACTTAAAATGATGACAGAGGTCAGTAATTTGCACCAGAGGTACACTTCAACTGTGAGAGACAGAATGTGAAAAAAAAAATCCATGAATCCACATGGTAGGATTTGTAAAGAATTTATTCGTAAATCAGGGTGGAAAATAAGTATTTGGTCACCTCAAACAAGGAAAATCTCTGGCTCTCACAGACCTGTAACGTCTTCTGTAAGAAGCTTTTCTGTCCCCCACTCGTTACCTGTATGAATGGCACCTGTTTGAACTCATCATCTGTATAAAAGACACCTGTCCACAGCCTCAAACAGTCAGACTCCAAACGCCGCCATGGCCAAGACCAAAGAGCTTTCGAAGGACACCAGGAAAAGTATTGTAGACCTGCACCAGACTGGGAAGAGTGAATCTACAATAGGCAAGCAGCTTGGTGTGAAAAAATCAACTGTGGGAGCAATCATCAGAAAATGGAAGACATACAAGACCACTGATAATCTCCCTCGATCTGGGGCTCCACGCAAGATCTCATCCCGTGGGGTCAAAATGATCATGAGAACGGTGAGCAAAGATCCCAGAACCACACGGGGGGACCTGGTGAATGACCTGCAGAGAGCTGGGACCAAAGTAACAAAGGTCACCATCAGTAACACACTACAACGGCCTAGCCAGTCTCCAGACCTCAACCCCATAGAAAATCTGTGGCGGGAGTTGAAAGTCCGTGTTGCTCGGCGACAGCCCCAAAACATCACTGCTCTCGAGAAGATCTGCATGGAGGAATGGGCCAAAATACCAGCTACTGTGTGTGCAAACCTGGTAAAGACCTATAGTAAACGTTTGACTTCTGTTATTGCCAACAAAGGTTATGTTACAAAGTATTGAGTTGTATTTTTGTTATTGACCAAATACTTATTTTCCACCCTGATTTACCAATAAATTCTTTACAAATCCTACCATGTGGATTCATGGATTTTTTTTTCACATTCTGTCTCTCACAGTTGAAGTGTACCTCTGGTGCAAATTACTGACCTCTGTCATCATTTTAGGTGGGGGAACTTGCACAATCGGTGGCTGACTAAATACTTTTTTGCCCCACTGTATCATTAATGTTAAAGCTCTTATTGACTGAGCACTCGCTCATGAAGCCACAGGCAGGAACAGATCAGAGACAGTGCAGTCTCACCTCCACGTCCAGCCTTTCAGGGTGATCAGCAGTTCCAGAGTGAAGTAGTGAAGCGTGAGCAGAGGTTTCTTCCATAACACGAGGGCTTCGCGCTCATCCAAGTCCGTCTGTCTCCCGCCATCCGCAGGGAGCCCCGAGTCTTCTATCATTCAAGAACACACACAAACAAATGTGGGCGCGCAGGAGAACCATTTATATACTGGTTCACTTATAGTGTCATTAAGCATTTTTAGACTTTACCTCCCAGCTCCCCATTTTGCTGCTCCTTTACACCCAGTCGCCTCTGAAGCAGTTCACCTTCGGCCCCACACTTTGCCATCTCATTCATCTGGAAGGCGTCCTGCTGAGACAAGAGACGGGCATTGAGCGCAGCGTCACGCATGCTGATCTGCTCGCCAGATCTGAAAGCGCTACTGGTCCCAAACAAACACAGTGTCGCTTTCAATAACACGGAGAACCCCCGAATATTTTCCACTCTCAAGCATGTCTCCATACACACTTGCACACGGGGTAAACAGCTGCTGTTTTTGCTACTCCTGCATCCTGCAGAGCGCCAGTAACCCAGTCAGGCCTGTGCATGACCTAATAAGTACCTTAATTAGCGCTGATACTGGGAGCGCATGCAAATCTTGTTCATTTTTCTGTGCAGACAACTTTTGAGAGGTTTCTCCCAATAATCTTCAATATGTTTAAATAATAGATTTAACGGTGTAAGACGGTGTTGTGCTTCATGCTTCCTCCCTTCGTTTGTTCACAGGAGATCCACGCACCTCCGTGCTCGTGCCTGCAAGCATGTAAGTGTGTCACTACAGAGCCTCGTGTCTCTCAGGAATCAGTGAGCATCAAGATGGGGACTCTGACACTGAGGTGTGCAGCTCACCATCTGCTGGAATTGCCAGTTCCTCTTGCAGACACACACATACTCTCAGAGCTTAATCCCTCTTTCTGTGCCCTAGCTGTGCACCTCTGGCTGTTTAAAATCTGCAAAAATAAAACTGCACAGCACATGCTTCCCAGATGAATGTGAAGTACATAGTTTGTGAGACTTCCACTCAGTGCTTGCTGAAGGTTCAAGGACCTGAACACAAACGTATGTTCAGCATTGGAAACACGCTTCCTGATCGCTGAAACGGCTCACACTGGCAGCTGTGAATAGTTGGCAGGCTATTTTGTGCTACTGAGATGTTGCACACCAAAAAACGATGTCCTTCTTATACATAAAGAACTGCACATAGACTCAGTGGCAGATTTCAAACCTTCAGGACATGTGCTCATTAGAAGCACTCACTCAATGCTGCAACAAATCATTTGCTCATTTGCACATGAGAAAACAGAGCCTTGTCCAAGAACCATGCTATTCATCATATCCTGTGAACAATCCCGACAATAGAAATCTGTGCCAAACCGGTCTGTTTGTGCAAAACATGAACTTTTGCTGCCACAGATGTGTGCTTTATTCTGCAGAACAGCTATTTTGTTCAGGAGTTAAACTGCAAACTGTGCGTCACAGCCAGCACCCAGTAAACAGTTTCATAACGACACTTCTGCTTATGTGAGGCTCATAGCACAGCGCTGCTCCAGCGCCTGATTGCGCAATCGCTTCTACCAAAACAACTCAGACCTGTTGAGTAACTGCGAGGGACAATGAGAAATCCAAGACAGAGCGCACACACTTCCAGATGAGAAATCCAATACGGCGTAATCGATTCACACTTTTGTTAGACACAAATGAGAGCTGCACACTGGAGACGGGTTATGGACTGAGTGCAAAACAAAAACAAAGGCCTTAAATATGACACCAAAGTCTGTTGTAGAAATGCATGATGCACAGAGAGGAAACTCACCGTTCAGCTGGAGTCTCGTCTGCAATCAGCTCTGAGCTTGTAGAAAACAAACCCTGCGGTGGAGCCCCAGTAGCAATGTAGGGCAAGAGCACGCGTCCCCACGAATTGCATCATAACTCGAGTGCAGGGTGTGGTGATGAAGGGGGCCAGTGAGGGATAGAGCAGTGATGCTGGGTTTCTTGGGGGGGGACACACAAACACAGAAAGAGGGAGAGATTTCATCTTTTGCCTGGTCAAACCTCCAGAGAGGCAGTCTAATTAAGACTCTATAAATAAGTGGATCACTTTCCTGGAGCGCACTTCTAACACGTCTCAGTCCTCTGCAGGTTTCACATTGAGGATGCATGAACGGCATCGTGTCAAATTAGAAAAAAACAACTCCAAAACTAAGGACATTGCAGTTTTCAGGTCATTAGTAGAGCCCTCAGCTGTCCGCTGGCGTGTCTGAGTTCCTGTCTCATCTCATTTGCCAGAGTTAAAAGAAGAAGTTGTCCACTCTTCTCCCACAGGTGGAAGGTGTTTCTGCGAGGGCTCGAACACAGTCCGGGTTTACTGTCTCCTGGGATCTTGTTAAGAAAGCGGAATGATGGGAAGATTGCAGAGCAGGTGTCATTTACCACCCGACCGCACGACATGTGATGTTAAAATGACAAAGTACAGCCTCTGCCTGGACGTGGTAGCTCTGAGTTCAGTTATAGTCATGTCAGAGGTCATTTAGTTCATATTTTAAAGAAGCACAAAAACATTATAATAGTTTCAAATGAAAAGTTTTTCCACAGAAATGTATTTGGAGATTTCATTTGTACACGTAGACCTCCGATCTTTGTTTCCTAATATGGAACATATTTGTGTTCTTCATTTGTCTTTGTGTTTAAATCACAATCTTCGAGATGAAATATTGTCTGTTTTACAAAGGTCTGATGGGAAATACAAGCAAAATATCAACCTGTAATACTGTGCTCCTTAGTGCTCATCAAACGAGCTGGATGAAAGGCTTATAGTTACACAATCCTTCATAACACAACGCTGTCACGTCTCAGCTTGCAGTCTGATTTCAGTGATGTGGGCAAGTGGACAGGATGTAATCTGATTACTGTCAGATCATGTACAGCTGCTTGTAACAGAAACTAGCTGTTTTGTTCAATAGGGGGCAGTGTTACCTTGAAGTTTAAAAACCTCACTGGGCTTACTGGGGAAGTCCCAGGATTATGTTATGTCTGTATTCCCTGTGCGGCAGTTAATGTCACTTAGAAAGTGGGATGTACCGGTTTGATTAGCTCTCCGTGGGAAAGCAGAGACATGTTTGTTTGTTAAACTACATTTTAACCTGTTAAACCTCCAGCATGTTTAAAAAAGCTGATACCTGGAGATTCAGCAGGATGATGCAGGAGCTCTTCAGGAGTGATGGAGAGAAGCAGGAAAGCATGTGAGTGCTAAAACAGGGCGCAAATATTTGCACTTGTTTGACAGTATATGGCACCTGTTGGTATAACAGCTCGTGTCCTGGTGTGTGTGTGTAGTGAAGTGGAAGCGATCAGGAGAAGACTTTCCAATGCTGTAAGCAACTGCAGAGAGGAGAAGGAGCTCTGCTGGAGGACGGGCCGATACCTGGAGAGAAGATAACAAAGATAAAAAAAGAGCTTGTTATATTAAACCTTAGCAGCTAAACTAGACTTAATGGCAAAGAAGGGACTTTTATATACGCACTGTTCATGGGCTGTAGTCTCACAAACTGGAATAACGCTGTGCACGTCACTCCTCTGTGGAACATTTCAAAATAAGTTATGTCACCGCTATGATGACATCGTCGATGATTGACTGTGAATCCAGGTCACAGCAACAGGTGGAAATAAAGAGAAAACTCTGGAAGCAGGAATATGAAAAAACATTAATAAGAGAAATGGTGAGAGGCATGCACAAGTGTGTCCTTTTTTGACTTCAGCCAAAAGACATCGGGACAGACGCTGTTTCACCTTAGAGTTCAGGCCTGCTCACAACCCTGTGACCAGCTGGCCACTGTTAAACGTCGCAGATTTCATTGATGTCAAAAGCAAATCACTGGTGTTGATTTCATGTCCTGATTGGAGGCAGAGAATCAGCGGCTGAGACAGAAAAATGAACATCTGCCTGCTGAGGCGACGTCTGGGTCTCCAAGTATACTTGTTGTAACGATTTAACACCACATTTTGTCTCTAACGGCTGGAGTCGTGTAAAAGCTGAAAGAATTTCCAGCTAAGTCAGAAACAGTCATGCTCTGCTCCTCTTTCAGCTGTATTATCTCAGAGGGAAAGGTCAGAAAATGAGGTCAGCTATGCAGAAACTGAAGGTAATTTTGTTTCAAATTGCTTCTTTGACCAAATAGCACATTGATAGCTGTAGCAAAGATTTTCTGTGTCCTGTACCACAAACTGGAGGAGATAGTCTTACATAGTAAGGATGAAGAAACACTGAAGGTATGAACAGCTTCATCATCTTTCGGATGTCACGTCTGCTACGAGTCTTTTTGCTGTCAGAGACGAGTTGATTGGAAAGTCAGTCAGAGACTTAAATATGAATAAAGTTTGCCGCCTGCGCTCAAACGTTTCATCTTTTGTCTGCAGGATCTAAGAAAGGAGCAACGAGAGTTATAGAAGCAGCTGGATACCAGGCAGGAAAATGAACCTGTGCAAGCAACGTGATCATTTATGCTGGTTTAAAAAAGTCTCCGTTACTCAGTGACACCTTTAACCAGTAACTGACATGAACTGAAACTACTTGCAGCACGCTGCAGTCTTTGATGAGCAGATCTCAGTTTCTATATTACACTGACTTTTCTCCCATCTGTCCGTTCTTCACTTTCACAGAGCTGCACTGCGATTCCAAGAGGAGTCCAGGAGAAACACAGACTATGGTAAACATAGCACAGCGTCATTGTTTAGCATCTTTATGGAAAATGTATTTAAAAGCAGCTTCGCCGCTAGCTCTTCCTCGCCTTCCACTCTTTGGGAAGTGCTTCCTTGCGTTTGAGTGCGTCCACTTTAATGACTGTTTGCAAACAGAGGGGTTTACAGTCCTTAGTTTTGCAATAAAACTCACATTTTAACGGTAATGAATTAACATCTCATATCTGTGGGTCATGACTGGGACTATTTCATAACGAGACACTGAACATTCCTGCGCAACCATAACACGTATTGCCACAAGCTGCTGATTTTGTGCCTTTGTCTTTGCACAGATGCCACAAATAAGATACAACATCACAACATTTGGGCACAAAATGAAAAGACAGAGATGAGGTACTTAACCGCACATCACACTAAAACAGGTCCCTTGTGCTTTGCTGATTTGAGTATTGTGTGTTTGTGCTTAGTTGGTGGTGTAACTGTGTCAAGGTCGTGTGGGGAGTAAAGTTAGGAGGCTTCCTCCTCGGTGTGCTCGTTTTGGTGGCCTCTGTCTGCGTCACTCCGCCTCCAACCTGCGGGAATCCGACTGTGCAGCACACAGCGTCCATCCTGTTTGTTAACAACTAACTGGAATTCATATGAGTCTACACGCCACCTAACGCAGTAGCATTAACATCAGCCAGTAACGGGGCTCTCTCATCTGTGGCTCTCTTCGTGCAGCGCTCTGTCGTTGCTTTCAAGTTAAATAAAAGAGTAAAAAATTGGAAAACTTAGACTTTGAAGGTTTCATTTATTTATTTTGTAAAAGTATGTTGAACCTGAGCCTGTTGAGACACGCAGCACTGAGATCCTGATCAAGGAGGCTCCCCGGCTGTGTTTTCTCTGATGTTTGAATGATTTTTAAATGACACTTTCATACTTTGAGTAATGTCTGTAATTTTGCAACAGTGCTAACCACCGTGCTGCCGTGTTCAGTTCAGTTCAGTTTTATTTTATGGCACCACATCACAAAACTGTTTCCTCCAGGCGATTTATATTGTAATGTAAAGACCCTACGATGATACGGCGAACACAGAAAACAAAAAAACCCAACAATAAGATGACCCTCGAGTGTTACTCCAAACACTGAAAACCACTGGATTCCACTTGGCGACAACAGGAAGGAAATTTATTTGATGCAAAGGATGTTGAAGATGGAGCTGCCAGGCAGGCAGAAAGAGGAAGACCACAGAGAAAGCTCATGGATGAGGTAGAGGAGGACATGCAGAGGGCTGGTGTAAGACGGTTGGAGGGGTAGGGTGACATAGAGGCAAAGGATCTACTATGGTGGCCCATAATGGGAGCAACTATAAAAAGAAGAAGACCCTCTCTCCTTAATAACATCCTAACTCTCCACCATTCAAACCATTTTAGGACACTCTTCCATATTTATATGGTCATGTATTTGTTCCATTAATATGCTAGCTTTCACAACACTGATTTGAACTAACGAGGCTTTAGACTGAAGCATTTATAGCTGCTTCAGTTCAGCTGAAATAAGACGTTATTTCTGAGGAACACATGAGAACATTTGGTGATTTCAGTCTTTAATAAAATATCAAATATTTACAAAGTATTATCTGTGACACACCCTTCAGATGGGTGAGTTTCATAGTGTGCTTCCTCCCTCATTTATGTGGCGTCAGTGAATCAAAGACCTGTGCAAACTATCACAATGTTTTTGGTGATGACATAACAAATTGGATTTTTGCCACCACCTAAGTTCATTCTGCACATTAAGCTCCTTTGTACGTCCATCGACATCTGCATACCTCACTTGTCTTCACTTACTTATTTTTGTACTTATTTATTTATCTTGTTCCTTCAACCTAACCTGGCATTTGTGTTTGGACAGCAGAGGAAGAATTTCATTGCACAGAGAAATGCTTCTGTACACGTGACAATAAACACTTTGAATCTTTGAATCCTGAACCATTCGTACTATGTCATATTATTTCTTATATGGATCATCTAGCTTTGGGTGTCTCAGACATTATTAACATCATCATACTGTTGGCTAAATATCATATCCATTGTGCTAAATCGAGGAACTCGACGCCTTCTTTGTTTTATTAATGATTTAAAGTTTTTTTTTTCTTTGCTTAAAAAGACTAAGAGCAAATATGCCAAAAATATTTATCAGGGCATTGCCCGTCTCCTGCTATTTTGACTTATCTTATTTTATTTTTTCATTGCTCTCCTTTACGCAAAATTTAAATGCCTGCCATATGAATCTTTTCTGTTTTGTTTTTAGATTGTATTTTTTTTCTATTATTCATAATTCCTCTAATTCTATATTTCTTGTACTTTTGTCATTTGTATTGTTATCACTGTCATCGTCTTTGAGCGTTTGTATTTTCAATTGCTCAATAAATTAAAAAAAACAAAACAAACAAAAGCTGTGCAAACGAAACCGCTTCCTGTTGGCTTAACGACGTCAGCAGATGTGTTTCTGAAGAACATGCACGCAGTTTGGTTTTTGTTTAATTGGTTTTCGTAATTTTTTCGGTTATTGATTAAAGAAAAAGCACAAGTTTACTTCAGGCTAGATAAGAAATACCTGGGGAAATGTTTGGTTACGGTAGTTAAAATAATAATTTTAATAAAAATTAGTAATAAATGAAATATAACAAGGAGATTGAATAGGTACAGTGTATAGTTTAAAAGAGATTACGATGGATAAAGCTGGTACATTTCATGCAACTTCGGAGCATCGTTAACAAAGACGAAACAGCTGTTGTGTGACGTCATCACAGAGCGACGGGAAGTGAGGCAGAAGACGCTTCTTCTTGCCGAGCACAGGTATGAAATGTGACCGGTGTGGTCCTGCGGTTTCCTCCTTTCTTCTACCGTGTGCGTCTGTTCGTGTCATTCTGAAGTCCTGCTTTTCAAACGTGTTTGTAACCTGGAGGCTCAAAGTCAGCGAGTGTAGCACGTGAACAGCACGTGAACAGCACGTGAACCAGTGAGAAAAACCCGCCTTCGAACCTCTTTGAAGCAAAGTTCCCGAATTACAGCGCAAAATGGAAATTTGAATATGGACATTTTTTATGTTAAAATGGGAAGACTTATTTATTCAGAGAGCTCCTCTGGAGCAGTTACAGTGTATTTCCTGTGTGTGTGTGTGTGTGTGTGTGTAGCCCTAACCTGTTTCTGATTTTTCCAGGTTTAAAGTATGGACTTGTCGTATGGCCCCTTGGTCTTGGGTGTAGCAGCTGGCCTTGGCTGTGGGCTCCTTCTTGGTTGGCGCCTTGGGGCCCGCTTTGGCGCAACATCCAAAAGTCTGTTGAAAGGGAATGGCTCTGGAGAAGCAAGCGTGATGGGAGAAGGAGGCGAGTTCAAAATGATTCTGGTGGTCAGGAATGACCTAAAGATGGGCAAAGGGAAAGTTGCTGCCCAGTGTGCCCATGCTGCTGTGTCGGCTTACAAGCAGGTCCAACGCAGGAACCCTGAGCTGCTCAGACAGTGGGAATACTGTGGCCAGCCCAAAGTGGTGGTGAAGGCGCCTGACGAGGACACCCTGATTGACCTGCTAGGCCGCGCCAAGGAAGTGGGACTTCCCGTTAGCTTGATCCAGGATGCAGGAAGGACACAGATCGCACCGGGCTCACGCACCGTGCTGGGCATCGGCCCGGGCCTGGCCGATCTGATCGACAGTGTCACTGGAGACTTGAAGCTCTACTAGAGATCCAGCTTTCAGCTGAGCTACCAGGAGTTTTATTGCAGGGCTTAGTTCAGTAATGACACATTTGTACTTTTACTGTGATAGCTCAGTGACACGGAGCAGTTCTTCACATCAACGGGACGCTCAGAAATATGATGATTTAATAACCTTTGTCCAAATTATGTACTGCTAATGAGAAGATTGATTTGTAGGAACTCATACTGTGATGTTGCACTGAAGCAGCAGAGCAGCTTAAATGAATGTAACATCACAATGGTGCTGAGACTCAATGGCATTTATTTTTTCCTATAAAATAATGTTTTGTTTTTTTTTTAATTTTTTTTTATTTGTAACTAGAAAACTAATTGATGGGGTGCTGCTGATGAAAGCCACAGTTACAAAGCAGAGGTGGAGGTTTTACAGAACAGCAGTTCAGAAAATCACCTTATTTTTAACATGTTTAAAATGAGAAAAACTTTTGTCTACACGTCAGTCATGAGCTGGTCAAATTCTCTAGAAGGTAAAGAAAGATGCGCTGACTAGAAAGGAGATGTCACGCTATTAGTGTTCGTAACGCTGCTGTATTAAAATCTGCTTCGTATGAAGCCGTTTCAGTGTGAAACACTTGAAATGTGAGTTTAGAAAAGTGACAAAGACAATTGGATACATTCATGTAACTGAGTTTAAGGCTACAGATCAGAGCCATGTGTGTAAATACAACCAATGTTTCACTGTTGTGCTACGTATTTAAAAATTCCAGCCCTGATAACGTTTTGCGTCTGCCTGCCCACTTTTATGAAACACAGTAACATCTGCTGCCACATCATTAGGTAGTCTAACGTGAGTGCAGTCATGTTGTCTGAGCACCGCGATTCTTTGCTTGACCTCGTGTTTTCCGGGTCGGGAAAAGACGTTCACGTTTTAATCATAAGCAATGTTTCTACACTGTAAAAAACGAAGGTGACACTTTATCATCCCACTACATCAAGGTCAGTTAAATGCAGAGCTCCACAAAATCCCCTTCAGCAGCCTACTTGTGCATGTTTCTGACTGAACTGCTGGACACACACTCATTGCGTGACATCCCGACATAGCGTGGGATGACCTCACAGCCCGGTGCATCTGGCGTTCACCTGATAACAGGTCCTCCACTTTACAGATGACTGCAGGTTCACACTGAGCACCTGTAACAAAGGAGATCTCATGGTGAACGGTTACGCCAGCAGCAATAATATCCAACATGACCATTTGGCAGAAGGTCATTGATGGTCTGGAGAGGTTTATCCTTGGATGGCCAAACAGACCAGACTTGCTGGCCAGCGGTACCCTGACTGCTGTTAGCTACAGGCATGTACCTCTGAGACTGCCTGCCAGACCTTTAGATGGTGCAGTGGGATCCTGCTGGCATGGACGAAGCTCGGCCTCGCGGCCAGCGCGTTCCTCTGACATGAATCCAATTAAAACCTATGGAACATCGGCTATTTGTGCATCTGATGACAGCATAGAATTTCAAATTGAATGTTATTAATCGGGAGCAGATTTGTAATTTAAGTGGTCCCTTAGTATTTTTTAAGCAGTGCCGGTTTTAGTGTATAATAGCTGAAATTACTTGCATAGAGCTTTATTTTACTATAGCACCCCCTAGAGGCAAAACATGACAATATATTCGCAGCTGGGTGGCATATTGAACATTTATAGCAGTACAAACCGAGCACTTAGCCAGCCACAGAAAACGAAATGTCTCAAAACAAACAGAAGAACATTCAGGGTCGTCCAGTAACGTGCGCAACATGTTCCTACACATTTCCTCTCTTCAACAAAGGTTTCGTACTGCACCTGCATCACGTTTGGGACTTCAGATTTAGCAATCACTGATCGTTACTGTTGTAGTAGAGACAAAAATATATGTCACTCTGTTATCACCCCCATCAGAACTGTGAGTTTGTTACAGCACATGCAAGACACGGTCACACTTTTCTTGACAAACAAGAAGCCTTTATTTTATTTTTTAAGTGGAAAACAAAACCGCTGTTTCATTCATTATGATCCTGATTATGCACAATCAAGTATCTTAAGTGCACAATTTAAATCTAAGGTAATGAGATAAGAATATAAGTTCAAAGAGTTAATGATTGATTTCCTGTATACACACACACACAAGCCTTAAGAAAAAAAACCTTCACAATCCCACAAGTGTTGTGATATTGTTTCTGATTTAGAGGAGTTCAACTTAACATTCAATCTAATCAAACAGGTTGTTAGTCGAGCACAAACAGGTCTGCAGCCCCTCCTAAGGTGGAATCGTCCCACATTAAAGCCGTGTGTAAAGCACATAGACATGTCATCTGGAAGTAAATGTTTTTCTGCATAGGCTTTGCTGGAAAGAACCAAACTTTCCTGTAAATTGTACGTAAAATACTCTTCTGGGATTTTCTTCATCAAACCAGCCCTGAAGTTTGAGTTTGGGGCATTAATGGGACAGCGTAGTGTTTCAGGATTGTGGGGACGGAAGCAGCGGCCATGTGTCTGAATATACAATAATTAAATGCATTTTACAGTCTGAAAGAAGAAGCTGCTCACGCACATCAAAAGGAAGAGGCTCTACATTATTTCTTCTCACTACAGAGTGCAAACCAGATGCTTCACAACAGACCTTTGTGTGTTTGTGTGGTTTTTTTTTTTTCTTGTTTTGGAGAAGACCAGCTCTTCCCACAAACCAACCCTCCCATTGTACATAAACCATTTCCCATTCAAATAAAATAAACATAAGAAAAATTAATGTAGTCAATACGGAATGTGAGGAAATTAAATCTGTGATTCAAACCTTTCGTTTGACAACAGAACAAAAACTGAGTCCTTCATGGCAGTTTAAGGGGGGTAAAGAAAGGTTTAAAAACAAAAGAAAGATGAAGACGAGTTTGTTGCTGTTCTCCTCTCCCTGTTGAAGGCAGAGCGAGAGGGTAATGGTGTGGTGAAGGACTGTGGGGGATGGATGGATGGAAGCTCCACCCTGTAAGTGGAGATAAGGAGCTGGGGTCTTTACATGCCATAGCCGAAGCCTGGCTGAGCTGCTGGTTGACCGTATCCTGCGGGCGCCTGGTAGCCGTAGCCATACGCTTGCTGAGGGGCCACAGGGACGCTTGGGCCTGCTGTCAGCATCAGCTGGGGTGTTCCTGCGAGCCGACACACAGAGGAAACATGTCACACATGCACATTTGTTTTTGTTTCCTCGTTCAGATTTAAAAGCTTAGACTGGAAGCTGGTTTTATTTTTATGTCATCAGAAGTATAACAACAAGTTAAAGCCAGGTTTTCAGGACCTTTCATGACTTAAAGAATTCACAGTGATTAAACCGAGTGACTACAGAAGACCCTGGAACCACAAAGTGAAAGACGAGAAAGCAAAGCGTTCTCCTGGATACTGATCACGATAAGTGGATGTTGAGGTTACCGTAGACGATGGGTTGCGTCTCTGTTGCCTGCTCCTCCTCTTTCCTTACAGACTCTGAGGTTTCAAGTTTATCTACCTGCAAACAGAATACATGAATACATTTAGCAAAACGCTGAAACCCTTAAAAATGAAACTTACACGGTTCAAGGTCAGGAAAAAAAAAAAAGTAGGGGTCAACACACGATCTCTTAACAATAATGGACTCTTGCAGCAGATGGTGCGAGCCCTCAGAGCCCCGAGCTCAACGATACGTGTCAATGTGGGATCACATGAACCCACAGAGGCAACTGAGAACTTCCAACTGCAATAAAAACGTTAATAAAGTGCCATATTTTGCATGATTTTAAAAATACAACCATTTATGACATCCTCAGTTACGTTTAGTAGCAAAAGCAGTTGCCCTTTATTTCTTAATAGTCAACTAATGAAACGTGAATATCAGTAACGGCTTCTGCAGTCGAAAACAGCAGTCGTTGTTTTAACATCTTTTTTGGGCATAAATGCTGAGACTGGGGTTGCTATGATGGTCCAGTGTTTCCCTGCTTCTGCCTCACAGAGGCAGGAAATAAGTCAGTTCCTGTCAACCAGCAATATACATGAATACAAGTGAGAGCAGGAGGAACCTTTCTGAGCAGTGAGTCAGATAACTGCTAGCAGCAATATGCAGAATGGACTTCTACGGTCCAAAGGGGAAAGCAGCAGCAGCTGGATGCATGTTGTTTCTAAAACACAGCAATAAAGGCTTCCTCAGCAGTTTACTTCCACACCCCGTGTGCACATTCAGTTTGTCCATGCAGTGTAACAAACAGCAGCCCTTTAATTAAAAGCAGTGAGACAAAGCTGCTGAGTGTCTCATGCTGTATGTGTCACACTGCTGCAGCAGTAAGACTCAGCTTATTTAGAGGCGGAGCCAGGTTACTTCAGGTGCTTCCTATCGTTCAAAGCCTTGTGCATGAAGCTGGGCAAACCAACAGCCTGCAGGTTTGTATGAGCAAGACTTTTATTTGGTTAACACACATGCATCAAGTCCCAAGCATCAGAATGCAACACAAAAACCCAACAGTGTTACACAGCTGGAGGTAAATGCACTTTAGATATGCGGTATATCATTTTTTATAATTGTTGACGCGCCCAACTTCACAGGAATGCTTCAAATCACTGCGTCGACGCCACTGAACAACATACTGAATAATAAGACTTACTTACATGCTACGGCTATACCAAGTTTTGTATTACAGCCTATATGGATAGTTGCCCAACAATTACAAAACCAGTTTGACCGACTGATCAGTTTTTGAGTGCGCAAAGAGCATTAGAGCTAAAACCATGCACACTCCAGGCTGCAATCTCCTAAACTGAATGCTGATCAAACACAGAGCTTTAAACTGTCACCTGTTCCTTAACTGCATCAACCTGAAAGAGAAGAGGAGCAGCACAGAAGATGAACATTTAAAAAAAACAAACTGGCAGAGGCGGCTGGAGATGCAAAGTAATCAGACAAAATTGTGCAAGTTTTATTTCACTGAGGATTCCTCGTGTGCCAACGTGTCCTCAGATCTTTTGAGTGACCATCTAACAGGAAACCCGAGAAGAGCCGACTCACCTTGCTGAGGTACTCCCTCATGACCTGAATGAAGTACGGCATAGAAAAGTCCATGATGTTGTGCCTCCAGGAGGTCTCCAGCACCACATCAGGTCGTAGCAGATCGTAGCAAGTGAACAGGCAGGCGGCAAAACACTCCTTCTTGTTCTCCTGCAGGAACCAGGACAGCAGCTCCTCTGCCAGCTCTGTGTCTTTGGATTCTGAAGCATACTGCATGGCATCCTGCAGAGCGAGAGGCAGCACACACAGGGTCAGGAAGAGTGCAACACACCTGCTTACCTTAACCTGAGCACTCAAACGGAAGGGGCACCTTATAAAGCTTGTCCTTCTTGCAGAGCTCTACGCTCTGTTTCCAGCGGTTGTTGCCCTTAAACAGGTAGGCAGCGATTCTCCTGAACTCAATCAGCTCGTGCTTCTCCAAGCGCTGGGCCAGTGAGATGTTGTCAAAGTTATCGTAGGCATCTATTGATGTTCTCAGTGCCTAGCAGGAGTACGCAGAAAATGAAAGCGTGAGGTGGGTATTTTTGAAATAACAGAAGATTGAACTAAATCCACAGTTACTCACCTGATAGTCCTCCTCTGTGATGAAGAGGTTGTTAAGTGCTTCGTTGACCGATTTGTTGTTGTGGTTCTGTACTGACCGTAGGTACGGTTTGACCAGAGGCAGCTGTTTCACCTGTTAACACACAAGTGCGCTCAGTGCTCAGCCCAGTTTGAACCACAGAGGAAACCAGCCTGATGCATCTGAATCATTATGACATGGAACAACATGTACCTTGGTGAAGAAGTTGACGGCGCGTGAGTGGTCCAGTCTGGGGGAAAGCACTATAAGCAAATCGTTCAGTAACAATGGTTTGAACTCCAGATAGAACTGGATGGCTTTGTAATACAGCTCCACGTTGGCCACCTACAGCACACACAGAAGCAAAGAAATGATTTCATGCTTCTAAACAAATCTGTTTAATAAAAACAAAACACTGCATTAGGAGATAAATGTATTGGCTTCTGTTTTTTGCAGACTGCTGGAAAATTGTAATTAGCTTGACTCGTACCAGACCAGCCAAGATTTTACTGCTACATTAATGTGACACAAACGGTCAACGTTGTGCATCCTTGTTGGGAAGAAAAAAAACAAGTCGTGATTGTGATATCCAATTAAACTGTACCTTGGTGATGATGTCTTTGAACTGGCCCTCCTTCCAGGCATCTGTCGGGTGGTTCATCATGGTGATGATGGCGTTGTCGTACTCCTCGTATTTGTCATACAGGAAGACAAGTTCGGCCCACAGGTGAGCCTGCTCTGCTGCTCTCAGGACCTTTGGGATGTTAACTCTTGACCAGAAGAGCTCCAGATGCTCCCTCATCTTCTGGGGCTTGAACTTGGAATAGAGAATGGCCAGCTCTGTGAACATCCCCATGTGAGCACGCTCCAGGCCCAGGGCGGCCTCCAGCATGGTAATCAACTCCTCAAAGTAACCACGGTCCTGAGAGAGAACAACAGCGATGGGAGGTCGTCAAATGTTTGCTCATTTTTGGGCTAAGCTACGAGAGCTGCACACCTCAAAATCATTATGCCAGATTTCAAACTTCTGAATTTATTTTAAGGACAATAATGCTTCTCATCGATCTCTTACTTGGTAGTAGTTAATCAGCTCCTCCAGCTCATCGGCGTGCACTACGATATGGAGACCACACATCTGCGCCAGTCTGAACTCCTGTCCATCCACACAGGCGAAGCACACCTCTTTCCAGGTGCGGGTGCTGTTGGCCTTACGGGCGCCGTCCACAGCAGCCTGGTACTCTCCGAGGTGCACCAGGGTTGAAGCCAGACGACCAAAGTTGGAAACGTTGTTGTACAACAGTTTAGCGGCCTCATACATTTTCTCATCATAGCAGCGGTCACCAACCTAAAGCAAATAAAAAGTACAATAAACATTATTTCATCGATGACCCGTCGGCTCGTCAGAGCGTGAGTGACTCTGCGTGAGAGTGAGCTCAACCTGTTGGATGTGAGCATTATTGGGCCCATTGATGAACTCCTCAAGTTCAGCAAGGCGGTTGGTTTTGGCCAAAGCAAAGATCAGCTCGGTCTCTACGTAGGATTCGCGGGCCTTCTTACGAGCCATCTGCAGGAATTTGACCAAGTCCTCCCAGTTACCTGCAACATATTTACATTAATGAGGCTGTTGCTCTGTTTTCACAGTAATCCTTTCATATCTGCTGCACAAGCAAAGCTACTGCACAGGCTGCCATCTAAGACCCGATAACACAGTCGATGTAATTGATTGATTGATTAATTAATTGCTTTCAATTAAAGTGGCACGAGCACACAACTAACAGCCTTCACTAAAACCTGCTCTAATTTAGTGAGACCATTCTGCGTACCACTCGTATCAGCAGCCTGTACCACCTCCATGTATGCAGAGGGGTCGTCAGCCTTGATGTAGGAATCAATGGCTTCCTTAACAAGGCCCTTCTGCAGCTGAGCCTTGGCCAGCTGGCTCCACACAGCGGGCTCATTGCAGCGCTCTGCAAACTCATAGGCTCGGTCCAAGTTGCCAATATGCTCGATCAGCACCTGTGGGGCAGGAGGCAGACAGGAAGTATTATCAAACCTTCTTCAGGTAATACGATTATTTGTCCAAGTGTCGAGAAAATAAGAAGAGACCTGCACAGCAGAGGTGTTGACATCAAACTTTTTAAAGATGGCAAAGGCCTCCTCAAAGAGCTCATTACTGATGGCAATGTTTGCGATGTCAGGGGCATCATAGTTATCTAGCCTGCTGATATATTCCATCACTCGAGTACGGTCAGCCTTGATGGCCGTCAAGATCAACAGGTTCTGCAGATTTCTGTGGGAGAAAGAAAAAGATCAGGATTTCTGTGCAGTTTTAAAATAATCGGGATGAACAGTACAGCACTACAGCACCTGTGTTCACTGAAGACTGAGTTATCCAACACAATCTTCTCCAGCAGCTCAATGAGCTCGTTGGGCAAGTCAGCAGTCATGAAAGCCTTGACTGTGACCGAAACCTCCTCTGGGTCCTGGGTTTCTGACAGTGCTGTCTGCACCACCTGACAGCACAAAGTAAGTAAGTTTAGAGAAGCAGTGCTGGCAGGCAGGGAGATTAAAAACCCACAGAACTTGTGTGCGTACCTGATCAATAAGTGGTCGCCTGTAGGGATTGGTCTCCAGCAGTACGCTGGCCCACAGGTCAGGGTCTCTGCGTCGTACAAGGTAGCGAGACAAGCTTTTGAAGAGGGAGTTCTCATTGCAGACCTGATGGAAGAAAGAAAGAATTACAGTGCTTTGTGCTACAGTTAAGTTCACAACAACAGAACTGGATTGGCTGAAACTTGGACTGGTGGCATCAAATCATCTTGCTCACATTGATCAGCTCCTGGTCACACTGTCCTCTCTCATAAGCTACACATGCCAAATGGGGGTCTCTCTTCTCACAGTACTTTCCCACCACACGGCTGTCATAGTAAGGGTTTTCCCTCAGGAAGCGTTCAGGGTTGTTGTTGCTGTCAATGTAGATCTTGGCCAGAGCATTGTGGGTTGCTGGCTCTTCACAGCCTTCATGGATACGAGACTCGAGCCAGGGCAGGAGCAGCTTCAGCCTGCAAGGACAGCGGACGTCAGAACTATCCCTGGCTACGTATACAGCTTTGACGCTTGGGTCAAATCTAGCTTCAGTAAGCTGTAAACGATGAGTAATACAATTATACAAATATAAATCATATATATGTATATATAAATTTTTATTTCAAATGATTAAAAAAAGTTATTTGACAAAAGCCAGCTCCAAAAGAAGCCGTAAACATCTGCATCACAGTTTCCCTCCTGATATTCACTCATTAACGTCCATACAGCTCCCTGAATTACACTGAAGAATAAGTGTCAGGTAAAAATTCATTATGTTTTAGAAAATAACATAAGTTGAATGTGTGCAGCACCTGTTCCTCTTTTCCACCTCAGCGACCAGTTCATCCGTGGAAAACTGTCCTCTGACAACCAGGATCAGACTCTTGATGACATCCTCAGAGCAGTCCACATCTAAGAGGCCACCAACCACCACAGGCAGACGGCTCGGATTTACCTAAGCAAAGATTTCACAATAAATCTCTCCTTGATCTGTGAATGAACCGTGCTCTGAAAACTAAATGTCTCTGTGTTGACTCTTACCTTCTGAACATAGATCTCAATGTATTTCTGCAGGTTGTTGCGGTACAGGTAGAGGACCAGGTCGTGGACAAAGTCGAAACGGTCACAGACGATGATGAGTGGGAGCTGGTCAGTTAGTTTGGCTTCCTGTGCATCACAGAGTAATGGGGAAGAGAGTGTAGTCAGTGAATCTGTACACAGTCGAATGTTTAGATTGGTTTGGTTTCTGCCCTCTATAATTATAATCACCAAAAAAATGTCTGTTATTTAAAAGTATCAGGACTTAATCAGTTAAAAAACCACATAGAAACAAAATCAAGCGTCTTGGCTTTGTTAGCTAGGGAGGCTAAAGGGATGGTCAAACTATTGAAAACAACGTGTGTGTTTCGCACTAAAGAACAATAAACTTCCTTCATACTAATAAGCAGAGATGCCAGTTCTCACTAAGCAGTACTGAAACACTGCTGCCATCCACAGGATTTAAAAAACAAAACTGGGATTGTGCATCTTGACACGACTATCCAACAACATGCTGCACTAGAAAAAAAGCTCCTTACAAGATTACACACAACACAAACCGACACTTTCTGTGTTTAAATGTGAAGTAAAGGAGCCTAACACGGTCACCGTTACCTGCACACGCAAGAGCCAATGAATGACTACGACTACGTAAAGTTAATAGATCAGTGGCTACACATAGATACACCCCAGCAGGTGTATGGACTGTGGTGTATAAACATATACGCCTCCATACAAATCCCAGTTTCAATCATGTGTCTGAAAATAATGGGAAAGGGGTGAAAGAAAAGCAGGGAATGAATCCTGCACTGTGGGGAGGAATAGATTTACCTGATACATGTCCTGCCATTCCAAAGACAAAAGAGGAAAAGGACAAAAGATAATTGACTGCCATCAGGACTGCTGGTTGAACAATTTGCAACAAATACAGGTAAACTGTCAATGTGTGCAGCTTGGCTTTTCTATAAAATATAAAGACAGACTATGCACTGTAAGCAACGTCTGATTATAAAATAGAGATTTCAGGAGAGTTTAAACTTTTGATCAACCCAACATTAAATTCATAAAACTACTGATAAAGTTCTGACAGCGTTACAGGTTACAAACAAGCACCAGTAGGAACCAACTGAAAAATAACAGGCGAGGGTAAAAGAATAACAAAAATTAAAAGAGTCAAAGTCATAAAAGCTGCTTGTGTCAGTGTTTGATCGCTCCAGTCATCCCTGTCACTACCTTGAGGAAGTTCTTGACACGCTCAGGATCGTAGCAGTTGCTCTCTCTGCAGATCCTTTCCACCTCTTTGATCTGGCCCGTCTTGCAGGCAGCTTGGATGTATTTGAAGTGAACTTCAGGATCCTGACTGAAGTTTACAATAGAGCCCAGGAAATAGAACAAACCTGAGGGGAACACACAGTTAAAATTAAGCTTCAAATGGGATCCATGTGGATAGGGACATTGCTGACATTAAAATATTGTTCTTCCCCAATTAGTTTACCTATTAGTACCTACTCAGATCGTCTCGTTTTCCCTGATAATCGAGTACCATCTAAAATGCTTGTCCCTTATTACTGGGTTTCAAAAAGGGCAATTTTGATGTTGGTGAAGGAGATGCTTTCATGACTCATTGTGTAATGCCACTGACTAGCCAAGCAGTGGCATGTAGTCTGCTGACGTCACACATGCAGATTGCTTGGAACCCCGGTCAAGTAGGTATTAAAGAAGTACCTGGTAGCAGGTACTACCATCTAATGGAAAACCCTAAAAACCATGTTGAGCAGTAGGTACAAGTGAGCTATTTGTATTGGCTGGATTATGGATTACTGATATAATAAAGAATGTTAAGAATGAATTTTTATGTCTCACCTTCAAAGCTCTTGAAGGACTCAAAGAGTTCAGTGAGAGCCTGTGTGGTGAGCTGTTCATGGTACTTGGACGCCACCTGGACGCAGATCTGCAGGTTCTGGCGGATGTTAGCTGAGAGCATGGCCCTGAGGCACTCCAGAGAATCTTCCACTGACAATGAGCCAAAGTAGTTCACCAACCACTGGAGGTTGTGTGGGGGGGAAAAAAAAGTTAATTCAGAGGCTGTACAATCTACAGCAAGCAATGACACATTTGCCAGATGGGAAAACACTTTGACTGTGTAGGTAAGTGAAGCCTACCTCTGGGTTGAGCAGGTGTGTGTGCACCACAGCACGCTTGATGTCATACAGGTCAGTGTAGTGCTCGAGTGCTCTTTGCAGGAGTCCAGCTTTCTCACACAGCTGGGCAATGTGGGCACGATCATAGTTGGTGAACATCTGGTTGCCCAGGATTGCATCAGCAACCTACACCATGAGACGAATCATTAGAAAACAGTGATTCATGCTTAACAAATGGATTCATTTCATTCTTTCAAGTGTGTGCATATTGGTCTACCTGTGGTGCATGCATGAGGTTCATCTCCAGCAGGCGAGTCTGGAGAGGTCCTTCTGAGGGTCTGTTGTTTTTCAGGGCATCCAGAAGGAATGATGTGCACTGCTGAATCAGGTTGTACTCCATAAACACATCCACAATCTGGACAAAAACAGAACCACAGGTAAGAAATAAACCAAAAATTAGACTACACTTGTACAGCTGAGAAGTATTAAAAAAAACAACAAAAAAGGCCTGTTTGTATCAAATATGGTAGCACTTATTTACTGCAGCTTTCACCTTTGATATAAACCCAACATTCTTGTCAGCAGTCTAATGTTCGGCACCACTTAAAGGATTAAATGTGAGGAATGCAGCCCACACAGTTCTCTAAAGCTTTTAGACAAGTTGCAATGACAAGTGAAAGTTGTCTGAATACAGTAACTGTTTAAAAAAAAAAAAAAAAAAGCCTGCCTGTGATGCAATGATTTGTGTTCCTATCAGCTGCTCTGTTGCACTTTAGGAACACGAGCTGTGTCAGCGGTTGACATTTGCAGCACGGAGGTTATGCACAGGCAGGAAGTAAAGGAAGAGGTGAATTTCCTTTATACCATGTGAAAGGCAAGATTTAGAAACATAAACGTGTGCTCAAACTTGTTCAGTGTTTTCCACCATTCCGCCGATCGATATTACGTATCGCTCCGATACTGACCTAATTTACTGGATCGGATATCGGAGAGAAATTAAAAAAATGTAGCCCGATCCATTAAATATCAAAAAAGCACCTCACAAAACTTGCGACACGGCGTAACTCAGCTCATAACCGTAGCACGTCGGACCAGTACACGTCATGTGATAGAGCGGCTGTGGCGTGCGAGACCTGTCGGCGGTCTGGTTGAGCATAGGGCTGGGCAATATGACCCAAAATTCATATCTCGATATTTTTTACCTGGACGGCGATATAAGATATATATCTCGATATTTTTTTTAAGCCATAAAGTAAGAACAAAAAGAGAGTTCTTAGTCAAAGCTGTGTCCCAGATGTCACACAGGCACTTTTATTAACATAGAGCAGATGTACATAAAATTTACTCAAAAATAAATTATGAGCATTTATTAAATAATAATGCTCCATAAATAAAAGAAAACAATGTTGTTTTTGTGCATAACAAAAAGCTCACAATTGTGCAGTCAAAATGTAAACTAAAAGACGCTGAGCATAGTAACAAAGACAGATTTCACAGCTGCTCTGTTCCCAACTTCTACTCTGTGACTGATAGCATTGAGTTTGAAATCCTCTTCGTAACCACGTCTCTGAACAGGTGCCATTTATGGTCCTTATACACAGTAGGGTAATATTACGTTGAAGCACAGTACGTATCACTCCGCGAAGGCTCCTCGGTAGCCGTAATGCTCTGACAATCCATCAAGCGGTGCAGCTCCGTAGCTTACCAAAGTCGTAATAAAACATTTTTGACAGATTGCTGAGCGCTGTGTTCCACATAAAATCGGTTCACGGCCATCAAACACAACCAAAATTCATACATAAGGTGCGCTGTCAACTTTTGAGAAAATGCAAGGATTTTAGGCCGCGCAGCTCCTCTGGGCTGCATGGCGTTAGCGTGGTTAGCTCGTTAGCGTGGTTAGCTAGCTAACACGTTGACGGCGTCCAGCCCCACGCACGGGTCGATGCACAGTAACTCGTTAACAGATTTGCCGTGTTCATCTTGTCGCTTCCTGCAGGTGAAGCGATGGGGGAGGAGGGGGAGTTGTGTTCAGTGAAGGAGAGGCGAGGCCGAGTAAAGTTGCGTAAAGACGAAAGTGGACGAAAGAGAGGCAAACTTGCGGCTCCACAAGTATAGTTATAACGTAACATAGACTATATCGATATAAAGGATATTGTCAGATCTTATATCTCGTATAAAAATATATCGATATTTTTTAAAAACTCGATATATCGCCCAGCCCTAGTTGAGCATTTGTAGCCTCGCTACCAAACCAGCATTTCATCTCGGAGGAAGGTATCCCAGAGAGAAGAAAGCAAGTGTGTAAGTTCATCTCTGAATGTTTGTAAAGCATTCCCGATATATGGAGCGACTGCCTCTCTCTCCCTCTCCTTCAATCATGAAACTGATCAATGATCAGCTGATCGGCTTTTCTGTCGCGAGGCCGTCTCTGGTTTGTTTTTGGTCCACTTTGCACCAGAAAGAGGAAACCAGCAGATAAACAGCAGCAGCACATTGAAGCTTGATAAGCTGTTGTTAGACTGTATTTAATATTACTTTCTACACCAGGATCTTTTTCTACAGCTGACCTAACTGTGCAGGGGCGGATCTAGCAAAGTTTAGCCAGGGGGGCCAGCAGGGCATTAACAGGGAAAAGGGGGCACAAAGACATACTTTTCTTTCTTATTCTCATTTAAAATGTTGAGCTTTTAATAAATAATTATCTGAATCTTACACCCAAAGTTTTAATCTGGTGTAAAATGTATAGAAGTCCATTACTGTATATAGTAACTGTTAAGTCTAATATACCCTAGTAAGCTATAGTACTTTGTCCTTTGGGAACCATCTGTGCAGTCTGCAGCTCTGTAGAAGAAAGATGTTGAATCTATTTAATTATTGTAGAAAAATAATTGATTTCTGTGCTTTTTATTTTTAAACACGTGCATTAAATTATGGTTGATTACGTCGATTAAGTATCACGAGGCGGAGGGTGGGGGGTGGTTTCCTATTATTTTTGCTGGGAGTTTGCAACCCTATTAGTTTGGTTGCTTAATATTTCTGCTAAATACTCTTTAAAATACCAGAATAGGGAGGATGGAGCAGGTTTAAGTTTATTTGCTCATTATTGCTGAACTATGAAATATTTTGGGTGCAGTGTATTTTTTGCATACAGGTATAACAGAATAGCTTTAGTGGGTTTTTTAAAACTTGAGTATGAACAAAATATTTTAAAAAAAACAACAGTTTTATTGATTAAAAAATACAATATATCAGAGTCATATCGGTATCGGCAGATATCCAAATTTATGATATCGGTATTGGACATAAAAAAGTGGTGTCGTGCCATCTCTAATACTTATGCTCAATAAACTTATTCAGTGTTTTCCACACTGAAGTAGGCAGGCATAAGTATATGACACAATAATAAACACCAAATAGTATTTTTTTTTTTTAAGTTGTCATTTCTGCCTAACAGAATGATGACATCCTTTTCAATTTACTACTGAAACACCCGTGCCTTTATTTTGAAAGTTCAGCTAATGCTACCCAGCTACCCTTCTTGTCCTGCACTCCTTGCTGTGTGGCCGGGTTGTTGTTGTAGTGGTCCTCAATGTCTTTCTCAGGCCATCCCAGAGAGGCTCTGGTTCTGTGGCCAAATACAGCTAACTCCACCTTCTTGAACTGCAGCTGGTGACAGCAGTCCTTGTTGCTCTGAGGCTAGCTAGAGAAACACTGACCAGAACCTGCGGCAGCCAGAGAACCGCTTAATGTGCCCCTAACACTGAGATCACGGAGGCTCCAGAGCACAACAACGACTATTGTCCTTTGTATTGGTCAGTTGTTTATTTGTTACCAAGTACTTGACAAATAAACATGAAAACAACATTAAGCGTGTTTTATTCATTCACTCACTTAAGAAAGCACATGCTTCTCTAACTTCACACATATACGGTTTGCAGCCATGCCTACTGCAAATAAAGTCTGCATTGTAGCTGTAAACTCATTCTGCACTTAAAAATTCTATTTGTTTACATTCTGGGACAATTTCAGGCTGACTTGTTAATCACAGAGAAAGTGATAATTAAGTGACCTCAAGGTCACATAACACAATTTCAAAATAAAATAACTGTTGGACTACTGTATCAAAAATAAAAACATACTGCATCACTACATATCCTTCATATCCTACCTGTGTAATGTCAGCCAGTGGCTCTTCATCTTGGACTAGCATCTGTGCGAACTGCAGGCCCTGTTCTGGATTGATCCGCATCACATTCCTGAGCAGAAAGATCCAGTCTGGTGTGTAGCCGACCTGGAACAAAGAAAGAAAATGCTACAATAACCAACAAGCTCTCTCCACTCCACTTAATGGTCAGAACCAATTTCATTAAACTAGATTAAAAAATAAATAAAATCCAGAGTACAGATAATTAAAAGTAATGGCCAAATGCAATCTTAGACATACCTTTTTGGCGTACAGGACAATCTTAGGAAACTGACCAGTCTCTGCAAAGCACTGAATGACCTTGTTGGGAACGTTGGCCCTCAGGTACACACTGAGAGCCAAGGTAGGATCCACCGCCTTCACCAAGTCACCCAGTTCTTCAGAACACTCCAACTGGAATACACAAGAAGCATCAGACGTTTAAGAGAGACAATTATGAAAAACAACAACAACCAAAAAAAACATTGTTTAAATGCAAATAATAAATGTATGACAATAAAAAAATCTTAACACTGTTTCAGTAAAAGGACTAGATGTTACAATCCCTGACAATGCACTGCTTCAAATAAAGTCTTGAGGGATGGCTGAGGAAAGGCAGAAACTTTACCAGCGGGACACATTGTTGTGTGCCTTCACGGGCTGTTTCGGTCTTTTATCACAAGCTGTTCTGCCGGATTTTAGTTTCTTTTTACCTTCCTTGGTTAGGTTTAGGGATTAGAGATCTGATCTAGATTATAGTATTAACACTTTGATGGACTTCTCTAAGACTGTTGGGATTGGTTCTCCACTGATATAGAAAATATAGCAAATATTAAGTGAATGAAAATCAACTCAAATGCATAATTCACTTTTTTCTTAACCATGGAGAATTTGTAGATTCAAAGTTTCTGAAGGGGACTTCCTAAATTCCTTGCATATCACGTGATCCTGCTTGATCCAAGATAACAGGCAAGTTGTGTAAACATAACAGGCAGCTCAGGAAGAGCGACTTCCTGCGAGCTGGCGCTTAGATGGATGTACAGTACCTTGTCTTCCTTCAACCACTTTTCCAAAAGCTGCTTTCGCCCCTGCTGGAGGACAGGCCTGCAAAGCTCCAGGGACTCAAACTTATTGAGCTGACCCTGGTCTAACAGGATACCAAAGTACTGCAGCAAGGGGGAGGTTTGGCCAGGCTGAGTGGGAACACTCTGGAAACGACGGATGGTATCTGGAGTGCGCAGGATGCCCTGAGTGAAGAAATGTCAGCAGAATATGAGAAAAGCCATAAAGCAATGATAAAAGACAAAACGGGCAGTAAAAGACCATGGAAGTCACTAATGTACCTTTGGTGCATTAGCAGCAACCTTGGCGGCCTCGGAGTAGTTGCCAGCAGCAAACAGGTTGTTGAACTTGCGTGCAAACAGCTCTTCGGCTCCCGTGAGGTTGTTGCGGACAGCTAAGCGGAGAGCCAGATCTGGATTCTGCAGCACGTTGGTGATGTAGGGAATGATGTTTTCCTCTTCCACACAGACAGACAGAACCTGTGCCACAGGAAAAGACATTTTTAAAGTCAAAGTCAATCTGTGAAGTTTATGTCAGGCATGTGGAACAGATTCACAGATTTGGTCAAATACACAATGAAACGTTGATTGGAAAAACAGTCTTTTGTACTTTAACTCATCTTAGATACATTATGACCACAGAGGCATGATTCAATACACTTTAGTCAGGTAACCAAAAATAAATAAATCAGTAGTCAAGATGTTAAATTTAAGTATGTGCAATGAAATTAAACTCCGTCTAGCACTGGGATATGGGTGCTGAATGCAAATGTTATTTTAGTGGCTCAGTGTAACACAGGGCTTGCGTGTGAAGTCTGGCAACTACTCAAGCAGGATCACTTACTATAATGTTACTGGACTAAATGGAAGTAATGTGGAAATGTAAATACATGAAAATAAACAAAAAAGAAGGAAAAGGAGTTTAACAAAAGGTTTCCTAGTGTTCATCCTGTGTTCTGCTCAGTGCGCACTACATGTGTCCAGAGGAGAGTACGCTTGTAGAGGCTGATATTAAAGTCCGATAATTACTATCATGAGGGAGACCAGCCTGCACACTAAGCCCAGGGTGGCCTAACATTTTGTTCCTAAATGCTAGGAAAAAAATATCAAGTATCAAGTGATAAACCTAGTTGAGACAGATCCACCAAGAACAAATAGCAAAGCTCATTTCAGGCAGACACTACCGAGAGGATCTACACTGACAGAGAGCACCAGGATGTGCTTCCCACTCTGCATCACACGCTGATGGGACATGGGCCTTTTTCCACCCGTACTCTGTCATTTAAATTCTCCATGTTACCTCCTCCACCCCTGTCGGGTTTCTGTGCAGCAGTTCAGTGCTACACCTATAATCAATGCATGTCACTGACAGGCCAGGATACTCTCCTCATGCACTCACTGATTTTACATTCATGAGCTCAATATCTTAGCACTGTATGATAATGTAATGTTTTCCCACCTGAAATGTTTACGAGGTAATAATGATGTTTTTCTACTCCCCGACATTTCCATAAAAATATGGTTATGTTGATTTAACCGCCCCCGGTGAACATTATGCTGCTAGTCTAGTTGAGACCAATTTTCCTTTCACCTGGCTACTTGATGGAAGTATATAGCACTGGAGTAATTTATTACTCAGTATCCAATTACTAATTTTGCTGGTAACCAACCCAGTTAACCAGAATCAGTAAGTGGCGCAGACAGCGGCCTATTCTCTCTCAGATCACTGTCTCTGTGTGCTTGTGACACACACACACACACACACACGCACACACACACACACACACACACACACACACACTGCTCTGGCAGACTGTGAGATCTGTCACAGTCTGAGATCAGCTTTCCTCTCTGCGCTCAATTATTCATGTGGTGTGTGGCCTGGCTGGATCATTATTCATCAGCTAGCTGTATCCAGTTCTCTTCTCTGGTTCTGCTTCAGAAAAGCAGTAAGACGCAACAGTCGCTGCTTTCTGTTTGTGAAACACTACACCTTGGATTATTTATAATGACTCCTGGCAAAGTGAACCTGCCTGATGACAACAGACAAACAAAGAGATGCTGCTGTCAGCTGATGTTTGTTGTTGCCCAGCGTCATATTTGCTGGATATTACTAGGACTAGAGATGAAACAAGATTTAAATAGTAAAATTGAACTATAAATTAAGATGTTATGATATATTATATACAGATTTTTAGGAAACTGAGTGGAAAATATACGGTTGCACGTTCCGTTTCGACATGAACAAGACAGCAACTCCAGGCATCACTTTAATTTCCATGAGCAGTTAGAATTAGCACATCGTGACATTCTTACCTGCCCCTTCCTGTTGACCCCAATGATGCCTGAGGTGGCCTCATGTGGAGCGGTGACAAAGATGGTCTCTCCACTGATGCGGTTCATGTAGATGCAGGTGCCAGTCTCCAAGTCATAGAGATGGATGTAGCCATATTTGGTAATCAGGAAAACCACATTGTGCTTTGAGCTTATCTGTCAAAAACCAATTTAGTGATGTTACATAAAGCTGTGCATTGCCATCTGAAACATCACCAAAACAGTACCTACTCAAAGTGTATTTCTGAGTTCAGTGAGAGGTCAGGGACGTCTACAGAAATCAGAGACTTGCTTTTGAAAGTGTGGGTTTCATGTGTGTAAGATACACGGATGACCAGCCATGATGAAAAATATGGGCCTACCAGCAAATAAGATGACATTTAGCAACCATAGTGGCTGATGTTTGTTGTACATCACTATTTGGTGGACAAGTGGTCTGGTGGTTAAGCACCTGGAGACAACTGTTATTGTGATTTGGCGCTCTATAAAGTTATTCTAACAGAGATTTCCTTGTCAGTAAAAGAAATTATGAACAATTAAAAAACAAAAACATCACCACACATCAGCCAAACTGGTCTTTTAAAACACTGATAAACTGCAGTTTTGCCAACCTAGTACTACCTTTCATGCTACTGATGTCACACAAACATACCTGCATGGCTACAGGGAAGTCATTCTGGGCTTCTGGAGGGAAGAAGACATCCACTGCTTTCTTAGGAAATGGCTGGTTACCAGTTGGTGGGGTTCCCACTTCAATGATGTGCAACTATGATGAGGACAAAACATTTGTAACAAAACCATACGAGAGAAATCACTTTTCACAATTATGTTTGTAAAAACCAGTCACCTTCCCTCCAGCCTGGCCTCTGACAGCAAAGCAGAACAGAGTTGACTCTTCTGCATTCCCTTCTATCTTAAACTGGGCGAAGCTGGCAGCATGGCCTTCAATGGGCTGAGAAACTTTTCTCTCAACAGAGTACAGCTGCATGGCTCCCACCACTCGATTTTGCTGAAAGAAAAAACAAACCCCCCCAGAATGAAAGATATAAACATGCATAAGGTAATTATGACCGCATATTCCTTGTGACTGACATGCTTCGACCATAGATTACGAACCTTGGCTTTGTTTTTTGTTAAACCAGAACACATGCAGAACAAACTACCTGAGCTGAGATGCCGATGAGCAGGAGCCACTTCTGCTTGGCATCAGTGCGGTAGTTGATGATCTGGCAGCCTGCCAGGCTAGAGTGCCGGTCAAAGACTTTCACGGGCTGTGAGTCACCCTCCATGCTCCAATGGTAGACGGCATTGTCAGTCACAAGTGCAACTGTGTTAAGAGAGATCCACTTCCAAAAGGTAACATCGTCGGTCATGGTGTGCGCCTTCATCTTGCTCTTCATCTCAATGTTAAAGATCTGAAGAGTTTTGGCAGCTACAAGGGGGAGAAACAGGGCAGGAACCAGGCCACAGGAGAATGTTATAGCTCACGATAAGAGCGAGTCCGTGCACACAGAGAGACGCACACAAAAACCTCCCATAGGAAAAGAAGCACACCATTTCTTTTTTAAAGAGACAAGAAATTTGAAATGTTGTTTTGATGGCACAGAGGTCATCAAGCAACAATGCCACAACTGATAAGATGAAAAACATCGAACAAGCTGCATTTTGCAATTTTTGTCATATGAAGTGTAGTGAGAGAAAAAAAAAAAAAAAGGAGAATGTGAATTAGGGCTGCTCGATTATGGCAAAAATGATAATCACGATTATTTTCACTGAAATTGAGATCACGATTATTTGACGATATTTATTTAACCCTTTAAGACCTACTATAGAACCAAGTCCACCAGAGCTTATATTATTTTTTTACATGCTGTAGTGCCATTTGTGGGAGCATTTCAAGTTGCTATACATCAATACAACTGTTATAGCCCATATTTTAATAATATGTATGCATTAAGTCCATAGTAATTACATAAATTGCAAAAAAGTGCAATAAACTACAAAAAAATTTGAAAATCGCTTTTGTTTTGTTTACATATATTTCTACTTGGAGAAATTTAAGAGGTTTATCCCTCAAAACTTTAAATACAATAAAGTTGCAAAAAATAGTTTCCCACCACAGGAAATTTATTTTGAGTGTCTTCATAGTTTTATTTTGGAGATACAGCAATTTTTATACACTGCAGGAAAAACAAAAAACAATCCTATGATGCAAATTTGCAAAGAAAACAGCAGGTGCATCATTTCACTGTGGGAAGTGTTACGAACAGCTGATAGTAACGGCAAAGCCTGTTTCTGGAATATTATGTTTTTGTTCCTGCAAGCGCTTTTTATGCAATTTTTGCAAAGCTATATGTGGAACGAAACCGTGACCGAGGACAAGCTGATGGCATCAGATGTAAGTACAACTCCTCCGGTTTCATATGCAAAACAAATTATTGCGCTAGCTTACACGGTTCAGGTTCTACAGGGATTTAAAAATAGTTACGCAAAACGGAGCATGCTGCTCTGACCGGCTTTAAAGGGTTAACAATGACTTTAAAAAAATAATATAAAATAGTGTGCAACACCACTGAAGTTTTTTTTTTTTAAACTCTCTTTTCAACCAACGGCAGTCACTCTCCAAATAACTTCTGCTTAGCTTTCCGAGCTTCCCTCGGGTCCTCTTAATCAGCGGTCTCCAACCTTTTTTGCGCCACGGACGGTTTATGCCCGACAATATTTTCACAGACCGGCCTTTAAGGTGTCGCGGATAAATGAGGGAGGGGCTAATAATCGGCTCAGTCATTTTTAATGATCGTTGAAAGCCCAGATCGTAATCGTGATTAAAATTCGATTAATTGAGCAGCCCTAATGTGAATTTATTTCCAGAATACAAAAGGTGCAATAGGCTCGACGTGAACTTAAGTGCATACAAATTCATAATTTAAACCAAATGGTGCATCAATGTAGGAAGCCAATAAAAACACTTCTGCTTACTGCCACTGACTGCATGAAGAATTATCAACATGAATACAATTATTGAGAAAGGTCATTTTCCACGTGTGACAAAATTAATGAAGGATTAGAGGTGCCGACTGTCACCGAATGGTTCGATACATGCCTACCTCTTTCTTAGTACAAGTCATTCTAGATTAGAGGACACAGACTAGTGAGTACGGTGTTGTGAATATTAAATAGTGTGCTAAAAATAATAAATATTTGGAATGTTTCAAACATATTTGAAACAATTAGAAGAAAGTTCACTCACCTGCATTTTCTGTATTATTAGTTGGGGTTAATTTGAGAAGCTAAAGCTTTACTAAGAAGCAGTGTGACTTCTTCACTTTTTACCTTGTGTCAGAAAAGCGAAGACCAATGCATCAGCCAAACCGTGAAGATTATTTTGCCATTACTAAGCCAAAGTACAATAAGCAGATTGGTAAATGGACCACTTGCAGCAGTAGCAGCCAAATTTCAAAGAGCATGCAATATTTGAAATTCAATCATGATTAGCGTCTGGCGGTGTGTGTGTACGTGTGTGTACGTGTGTGTTTTGTGGTCAACCTTAGGTTACATGGAGGAGTTAACGCTCAAACTGTGTCACAAGACGAGGTCAACTAAGCATCTTCACTATGGGACTGAACAAGAAAGAGCTACACTGGCCTTACACTGCAAAAATACAAGGCAACAGTTTGCATCTGCTGCGCTCTATATACTGTTGTGCTTCCTGTTCCTGTACATATATAGCTCCTGTTTGCTGTGATAAGGTGCTTTTTTTAAGCATTTTTATGAACTGCCTTAAAAAACGGACACCAGTTCCCTCAATAAATAAATCACTGATACCGTGTGTTTTTTTCCACACATGAATAGTGGGCAATGTGGAGGGACTCATGTTGACACATTGTCCACAGGTGCACCATCACACATGCAACACAACAGGAGAAAATCTGAGTCATACATGTTATCCCTACTGGAAATTCACCTGATTTAGACAAGACTATTGGCTGGACCTGAGTGAGCAAGAGGCAGGACCCAAAACACCCACATGCTCATTGTGCAATCACCAAACAAGTACCTGTTTCATGATATGGGCGCAGGCAGCTGTCTAAGCTTAGTGAGTGAGACACTCACATTCTTACAAGCATCTCCATCAGGCATGAACCTGAACAAAACCAGGGCTGCAGCATGTGTGTGAAATGACCAAGTCGTGACATAATATCACTGAGAACACAGGGACAAAGCTTTGCCCCCCCCAAAAAAAACCAAAATTGCTTTGCTCACAAAATCTTTAAAAAGGTGCATAAGTAAGCTCATGGACTAAACACATGAGGATACTCAAGGTTTCTGAGCTCTTGGATAAGCTACCACAGTAAACTTATGAGTATAATTTTATCATTTCCACACCCTGACAAGCAAGCCTTACAGATTACTCTTCATTCTATGTTGTGACCCAATTCAATCCTCATCAGGCACTACACGTGACAGAGTAATGTCCCATTAGGACCATGTGAAGTAAAGTCAGTGCTGATGACAGGTGGCATTAGACTTCTCGCACAGATTACAAGATAAATTCCTGTGCTCTCTGGTCTTGTAACAAACTGTAATATTTAGTTCTTATTACAGCGAACAATTAATAAAAATTATTAAGCATAGCTTTGAGACAAATGAAGAAAGTTAATTACAACATAACACAGATGGAAGAGGACATGAATTTCAAACGGAAACCAAGAAATGCAAATTAAAATGAAATCATTTTACCCACAGTATTATCACACTTGCAACAGGTTCTAAATCACTTGTACATAAAACAAAAATTATGAAATGCCAGCAAGCCGTAAAACTGTGAAAGCTAAATCCTGTTTACAGAATATTGGCTGAGATGTGGAAAGGAATTTCAAGAATGCACTAAAACTTGGTTAAACATGTGTGTAAAGAATACTTAAACCTAGCCCATTAGTGCTGAGGCTCTAAGAGCAAACAAACTCTACAGTAGTCTCTATGCTTCAAATGGATATTCAGCTTATAAATGTTGCTTTAAACAGGATTTTACTTCCACAATGAAGTAGTTAAATTTCAACTCACCGTCTGCAAACACATAAGAAAGCAGTAAAGGAAAAAAAAATAAGAGAAGACAAAAACAAAAACAACAAAAAAGTCAAAGCAATCATGGATGCTGGACAAAAAGAATAAAAAATATCCCATTCTGAGTATTTACAGGACAAATGTTTTGAGGAAGAAAAAAAACAAAAACATACATGTTGGCCATTAAAAACTAATCCACAATGGAAAACTAAAGTAGCTGGATGTGTATGGACATAAATAAGTGAAAATAATTCATAATCTTAAAATTTTAAATGGATAACATGTTGCTATATAGAAGAAAAACATGTCCTAATGAAATGCTGTAAGTCCCTTACAAGTGGTTAGTTAACGTTTGTGTTATACCCTGATATTTAACACACAGGATTTAACACATTTCCCTCTCTCTGTGGTAATGCACTGCACTCAGAGACATGCAGCCTTTGAAATGTAAATAGACTGCCATACCTTTAAGTGCAATGACCTTGCTGGCTGGATTCATGATGGCGCTGTCAGCTGAGATGGGCCTGCGGATAGGTGTGTTGGGGTCGGCCAAGTCGATGATCACCACCTGAGTCTGCTCACCCACCTTCTCACGCACACAGATGAACTTATCAGACTCCATGGTTAGGGTGCTGAAGCCTATATTGGCCGGATTGATCCCTAAGTTTTGGAGCTAAAAGAAACAAGGGGAAAAAAGCAGAACCATGTGAGCCTGAACAGAACTGGGCAGCAAAAGGTTCGTTAGGTAAATATGAAGATCATCTTGGGAAACAATACGTCACATTGTTCCTGTCACAATTTCAACCTAAGCCTTTGACAAATCTATAGTCAAATTAATGCCAGGAGTTGACCAAACAACAGGGTCCACTAAGAATGTTGGGACTTTAAACTCAGCTACTGTGCACTACCACAGAGAGCGGATGAGTTTGCCATACTGGAGCTAGGCAGCAGTTCTTTGGACACATGTAGTTTTGTACTGGATGTAACAGTTATTGCCTGGCCTGGGTGGAGAGCTAATGCACAGCCAAGTTCTCAAAGTATGGGCCAAAGAGGAAACTGCAACATCATTACATAACACTCAAGTGTCTCTTTAGTCTGACTAACAGGAACTATTCACAGTCTGACATCTCAGAAATTATTATGTTTCACAGGAGCTGGTTTGCCAACACAATATATACACCAATATCAGTGCATGAAGAGGATTCTGTCACGTCATATAGACAACCACTGGTGCTTTATTTTGTCCAAGTTTTACCTAAATTAACACCAATTTGAATCCCTGAGGGAAACTCAAGTACATTAGAGCACGCCTTAGCTTTAGCTTCAATTACTTGTAGGTGTTCCATGAAGAGAGAGACAGGACACGTGAAAAAATTAACCTGCATAAAAATAAAGCCTCAGGCTGTGTGTGAAACAATTTGCCGCATGTAACACCAGCAAGTTCTGCAGATCTGCTTACTGACAAAGGCTGGAAACAGGGTATCCTGCCTGCCTTACACAAACCCTGACACAGCAGTGCTTGCTGAGGACAGTCAGAGGAGCAATGGGCAAAGCCAGCTCTGAGCGAGAGTATCAAGAAGAAGCAGTTTTCATTGCTTAACTATACGAATAATACTCAACATGAAAAATAAGAAAAAGGCAATTATCAACCACATGCAGCCAACACTGGTATAACGTAAATTTAAAGGAAATGAAACTACAAAAACCATCCCATGCACCATGTTTTGCTGTTGCAACTTCCTCCAATTTTTGGCTGTCAATGAGTAATATACCACAGTTGTACAACTGCTGAATAATCACAACTATTTAGAACATGGTTTTGTGTTTAAACCCAAGACCGTTACCGTGTATATACATTTTTATTTATGGCCAAGTATTTGCATCTTTGATCAGACATAACTGCTATATCATGCGCAGCAATCATTTACAAAAAATAAACATATATCCTATTGCAGTAATGTGAATAAAGCTGGTAATGGTTGTATAATGCTTTGCTTTCAGGAAAAATGGCCTCAGAAATGTTACAATGCTTTCTCATTTTATTCAAAATAAATCCGTGGGTGCAAATGACATAAATATCTTTTGTCTTTTCAGTAGACAGCTGTTACTATACTTATAATGACGCTTAATAAATCTTAATCTGTGTGTTAAAGGTGCACAATCTATTACTGCCTGCTTAAATTAACCAGCCATAAAATTTTACACATTCACTTGTAGTCCTGAAATGTTTTATGTTGGAGGGGGGGAGGGGGTTAAAGCATATTGGATCACTCCCATCTTTGTTGGCAAATGTTCATTTTTAAGACTCTTGAGATAAAAATGTGACCCCCTTCTAAAAATTTTGCCTAGTTCAATTCTAATCAGCAAACACACTCACAGTTCTGAAAACTGCTCAACGAAAGAGACCTTTTATCAATGACAGGACACACCCTCTCCACAACCCTGCCCCAACCACACAGTGTGTAACCTGGTTCCCTCTCAATGACAGTGCAAACAACTGTACAGAACAAGTCTTACTACAAGCTATGAGGAAAGAACTGAAAACTGATCTGAACATTTTTTTTGAACAGTGGAGAGGTGACATCATACAGTAACGTCACTGCAGCTTCCATGCCTCTTATCGTTGCCATTGTCCAGTATGGAAGCCTTGTTTACTAAGACAACATTTATTCAAACACCGGACAAAGGGAAACGGCCTATGTGGAGAATCCTTCTGACCCTGAACACATCAGCTTTCACTAATATCTAGCAACAGTTTGTTTCATGAAAACACAGCAAGAGATACTACATAGCTTAAATTAATTTAAATAGATGGTCAGCATAACCAAGCACTCTCTATTCAGTTATGGCAACATCCCATGCAGCTGCTGTGTGAATGAACTACTAGTTTGCCTTCAAATGAGTGCACTTTAATTCAAACAGATGTATTTCTACATTTTAAAACACAAGAAGAAGCTATTATTACACAATATTTCTAAACAGATTTATGCGTTTCGCTTCCCTCTCATCTATTCTTGGATCAGCAGGAAGCCCTTTCATTCACACATGAAAAGCATTTCTAAAACAGGAAAGACCAGCATGGCCTTATCACAATGAATGCTACCCCTCTTGCACGGAATAAAGAAAAGCAAACGCAGACTGATTGACCACACCACAGTTTGAGAGACTGTTTTGCTATGGAAACCTTAGAGTAAAACACTACTGTGGGTTAACACTGCTGCAACATCACTGAGCAGGAATTTGGCTGAAAGCAGGTCAGCCCAAAGGAGCTACAAACAATGTGGAAAATCATTTAACCATTCAGTCTAGCACTGCTCTGCATAGCTGTTAACACATCAACCAACCAACTAGAGCCACACAATTATGTCCAAAGTGACGTTGTTCAATAGTAAAGTCATTATTATTCATTTGTTGAATTCTCTGCACTCTGATGTAAACAGAACATTGCTTTGTATAAATCTTTGTACTGAAACTTAGCAAAATTAAATAACAGACCACTGATTTCACATTTACACTGTGCTGCACTGACACACTGCACAAGCTCATTTTTACTGATATCCAAGTTGACAATTTGAACGATTCACATAAAACGTTTTTCTTGGTCTTTACGCATTAACTATACCGCAGACTGTCGTGTGTTTTCAGGGTAAAAGGTTAGTTAGATTAGTTCTGTTGCTCTGCAAACAGACAGTACTCTTTGAATAGGATATGCCAATATGATGAGCATGCATTTTAAATATTGTATGATCATGTTCTTTTAATTCTGATATGCCAAAATCATAATCGAAATTAAAAATTTGTTTGTGCTGCCCTCCACAGTTGATCAATGATAGGATAACAAAGGAAGAGCCTCCGAGAGACTTGCATGAAGCAAGAGTGAAAATCAAACTAATCTGTATTTAGAAAGTGTGGACAAAGAGAATAAAGAATGCATACAACTACGAAGGGTAGGCAAAGCACCTGGTAAAACACTTTTTTAATGAAGAAGAAGACGGAAAAAATAAACACATTTAAGAAAGATAATTACAGAATCGATCACCTAGAGCACGTAAATGCTGATGTAGCAGAGACTACCATATTTTTCACACTATAAGGCACACTTAAAATCCTTTAATTTTCTCAAAAATCGGCAGAGCGCCTTATAATCTGGTGCGCCTTATCTATGAATTCTGGCTGTGTTTACTGACCTCGAACGAAATTCCGTCTCCACCGTTGCTCGACGCTGCGTGTATAGAGCAGGTAGTGCAACAATAGAAAAGTAGTTGCGGGATGGCACTGTGTAGCGTTTGTCTAGGGTGTTGATCATTTTCCTAAATCCCTCGTTTTGCACAGTGTTGATGGGAGCCATATCTTTGGTCAGGTGATAAGTAATAGCCTCCGTAATTTCTTTGTGCCTGCGGGAGTTCGACGGGTAAAGGGAAGCGCTGTATAAGGTTCCCGTTATTGATGTTTGGGTGGTTGACCGGGACGGATTTTCTCCTGTCACTTTCTCGTCATCCCTGACGTGCTCTCCGTTGTTTTTCCCTGCTAATTTTAGCATCACACGGCACAGCTTCTGTATCACGTGGTATAAGGCTCCGTCCTTGTCATTTGTTGAGCAGGAAGAGTGAGCGCTTGTTTTCATGCAGATTACATGAAAACAATGTAATGTAGCAATCTGGCTGCTATCACTACCAACATGAATGAAGACAGAAAAGTACACAATAGTGATGTTTGTAGGGTTACTGAAGTAGGGCTAGATGGTATATAATGCTGTGCTAGTGATCGCTAGTGACACAGCTATGTTAGCATAACAAAGCATAACACAGTGAACCTGAACGCTAACTTTTTTCCACTTGATAAAAGTTCCCGATGTTTTTTTGACAAATGCAATCGCATGGAAAATTGCTGTAAACGGACCAAACTTCTGTAGGGGAGAACAACTGAGATAATCCAGCCACAATATGAGGTTAGTCATTAATGCAAGATAAGATAACCTTTATTAGTCCCACACGTGGGAAATTTGTTTTGTTACAGCAAAAAGTGGACAGTGCAAAGTTACATAGCAAAAATTAGAAAGACACTGGAACAACATATACTGGTGCGCCTTATCTATGAAAACCGACCCGTTTGTCGACAGTGCGCCTTATAATCCGAAAAATACGGTAGTTCAGCAAGCACTTGCAATGGCAGCAACAAAATGCCAGCAAGAGACATTGTGAATTATGATTACACTATTACCATTATTCATCTCTTTACAAACCATTAGCTCAAGCCCAGCCTTATTTTATTCAATGACAGATTATAATGTTCTAGTTATTTTTTCCACGATCAATCATTTTTTCCTTTACTGACCAAAACTGCTATGCTATATAAGCTAAGGAAGATACCTGGCCATGTGCCCTGTAGTGGTGCAACGGATCACGGTTGATCCGTAATCCGAACCGATCCCACACCACGGTTCGGCACGCATGTGATCCGAAGATTCAAAAAAGAAGAAAAAAAAAAAATATGTGTATGGTGGCGTGGTGGGTCTGTCAAGCAATAGTTATGGTCAGCGCTAGCGAAGTGGAGTGGAGTGAGTGGAGGAGCAGAGGAGTTTGCAGTATTTAAGCAGCCCTTTGCTGCCCAATCCGACCGGGCTAAAGCTATTACAAAAGCTATTGGGGTGTTTAGCTGCAGACGGGAGGCCGT